GCCCAGCGACGCAGCCACAGATGTCATTAGTGGCAGGCCTGCATCGTTCCTGCCGTGCGAGTGTGTGTGATTGAGGGCTATCTCGATGTCAGGGAAAAGTAAATATAAAAATATAAAAATAAAATAAGAAATCAACAGCACTCCGTTCGCTTAACAGAACAGACACTGAACCCCTATCGTCCGCACCCTTGCGCGGCCTAACGTTGCCGACTTTTCCACAATCCCGTCACTGCCGTTGCAGCACTATGCTGACCCACCAGACAGTTATGGAGTATTGCACCATGATACTTCAACCGTCGAACCCGACGACCCTCTTTTATCTCACTGGGTGAACTGTCGCAACGACGGCAGCTTGGCAGGTTCTATCGAGCTATCCTCTTTCTGCATCTCTCGCCTCTCCTCCTCTGTGCTCATATCTGGCCTGCACCCCCTCGGCCCCTGACGTCACGCTCCCCTGTCCCGATGCGCGAGCTACCTTCTGTTTTTGTATATCTTCATCGGCGATGCTTTTGGACGTGGATCAGAGGAGGGCGCGGGTGAGATGCCGCGGGCAACGGACGAGGCGATTCTGCGCGACTTTACCGATCTGCAAGTAAGGGGGATGCTTGATGCTGTCACGCTGCATATCAGACCCTGTTTTTGCTCTGCTATCGTGCATGTTCCTGGCAATCCTCAACGGTTATTGCTGATATCCCTTATATTCTTGTCCTTTGCAACCGGCCATCTATCGACTCACTGTAAGGCGACAAACCTCTCCTCCAAAGAATCCCGGTGAAAACGGTAGTAAAGTCAAAATCTTGTATAGGCCTCCTATACCCAGAAACCAAGGGACGTCATCGTAGCAGCATAATCAGTTTCCTCCAAGAATGTTCGCCCGTTCAGGGTCCAATTTGTCGATCCTGTCAGATATGGAACCGAAAAGGAGCAATCATTCCGCGAATCGCGATTGTATTTGGTTTATAAGAAAACAATGCAAACTGCATGGCAAAGCGCTGTTCGTCATGCTCTGCATCGCAGCTCTCGTTGGCCAGTCTGCCTTTTCTCCACAAATGTGGCTGCAGAATATACTGGGCAAGGCGAAACATTGACGAACTGCCGTACGTTAGGCTCAGAAAGCGACAGGGGCTTTTATCCATTGCTGGGGGGAAACAGCACTGTTAACTTGCAGAGAACAACGACTCTGGTATTGCATGCAAAAGCACAACATACTTTGTGCAAACAGAAAGAAACACAAAGCCATGTATGCGTACATGGACTTCTGGCCTGTGGGCCTTGGTCGATCCACGGTGCTCTAGAATTGCCTCCAGCCGCAGGCACTCGCCACAGATACACTTGACGCTTCGTGCGAGTAGAGAAAATGATCGTCGCTGAGCGGCAGATTTTCCGTGGCAGAGGGTCTGTGCGTTTTCCCCTCGCTATTCTTTTTTTTTCCTCTGTTTTGTTCCTTCTGAAAACGTTGGCGGTCGATCAGTCGCTGAATATCCCTTTGGGGATCGACTCTGCTTTTACCTGCTTTTTGTCGCCTCTCTGCTTCATGTTTCTTGTTCAACCCCTCTTTCGTCACCAAACACAACACATACGAAGTAGATCGAATCTAGTACACCAAAGACTCCCCAGCATTTCCGACACCAACAGCCCCAGAGCCCGTATCGTTCTAGCTGTCTACAATGGTGTGTGTCTGACCTCCGTGTACGGAGTAGAGGATTGTCAATGTCAGGGTTCATCCTCCAAATTGCGTAACACGGCGGACAGAGCATTGGCATTGATACAAGACATGGTCATGTAGACAGAAAAAAATACTCCAAGGTGCGTTGTATCATGTATTTGCAAATTCAAAGCATAAATATGTCGTCGTTTGTCGCGTCTCCTGGACATGGGACGGCTTCTTACCGGAGACCGAGACAAAACACGGGAAAACGAGACAAAACAAGACCAAAGCGGTGCCAAAAAATAATAATAATAATAATAATAAAATAAAATAAAGCATCTCGATTTGGCATCCAAGTATCCTAGCTTTTTGTTCTAGTCCCATACAAGGGTGGTTACATCTTGTGAACACGTGCTTTTCACAAAGCCCTGCTGTCGCCTAGCATCCACCTCTGGAATGGTACTTGTCCTGAGTCGCCGCCATTAGTGCCGATCGTTCTTGTACTTGACATCTTTTCCCCTCAAACAAAGAAGGGCGGCCCCACATGATTCTTTTCCCACTCTCACTGCTGCAAGACACCCGACTGCACCAAGCTCGGATTTGTTTAGGAAGGGCGCCTGACGGTACTTTGTGTTCACTCTAGAGCTCAGCATAGAAGTTGTACCGCCTTCTGGTTCGTATTTTGTAGGTGTGCTTCTCCGCCCAATCTCTTCGCCTTTGTTCTCATCAACTCCGCCCATCCAAAAAGTACCCACATTGTTATGCATGAGAAACTGCGTATGCCATGAGGCACGACAATGAAACAGGACATTGTAGGCCACAAAAATGTTTTTTTATTAAAAAAAAAGGGACTCTTTTAAGGATCGCTTTTGCTTTTCGGCGGGTTTGCTTCAAGAAATGCGCCCAAATGCGCCCAAATGCGCCCACACACAGACAAGACCCTTGGTCCAATTGGCCTGGGGAGTGGCTACTGCCCACGACCAAAGCAAAAGGCAAAAACTGACGTGCTGAATCCATGCCCAGGACCACTGTCTCCTCGCCTACTAGGGCAGTAGGAGTATCGAGTGCGATCGGCTTGTTCTATATTTTGTTGCAGACTGGTAATATAGCATCCCCGATGATTACATGTTTTTCTACTTTGGCCCATCTAGCAAGTGCGTGTCGTTATCGCTCTGTCGCTCTACCCCCTCTCTCTTACTCGGACCGGACTTTCTTTTTCTGCTGCCCGCTGGGGCCAAGCCTACTCAGCGATGGAAATCGTCCCGCTATGTATGGACATAGTGGACTCCCCGTACGACGCATGCATTCTGTGCTTGGCCTCGGCCTCGGAATAGGAATGGCTTTTAGTGCCGATCGATGCGATTACGGACTGCGAGAGCAAGTACTTTTTCACGACGGCCCTCATCTCATCATCACGTTGAGCCAACCCATTATGGAAAGCAAAAGGCCGCTGGCAAGATGCTAGAAACGGAGCATGCCCGAAGAATGTCTGTAGTATGCGCCTGGATGGGCCACTGTAACTTTTCTCCTCCCGTATTCCATTCGTCCCGACTGCTCAGGGAAGCTGCGAAAGCTGAGTAACGATTTGCCTGACTTTTGCTACAGGTTTGCTTGTGATGGTCGGGAGCATGGCTTGTCTTTGTCGTTAGCCTAGGACGATGGGCTGACGCGTGGCTTTGCGCACAGTCGGTGTCTTGTCCCACCAAGTCCGTTTGTAAGTTGTCTCCTGGGATGAGTTATCATCGCCCCGTTGGTTGCTCGCTCTGCTTTAGTCTGGGCCGTTCACGACGCTGGTTGGTCCATCTGTGACGGAAAGACCATACAAGCAGAGTACAAGCAGTTCACAACTTGGCTGTCTAGCAAACTAGCCCAAGGCCTAGACGGTTCTGGACATCACCAAAAGAAAACCAAAAGAAAACCAGCCCATCTGCACCTCAACAAACAACGCTCTTGGCCTTTCTCTCGCCATATGCTCTTGTGAATTCATGCCTCGCTGCCGTCTCTTTCCGTCCTCAATTATTTCTCTGGTCATTATCTATGGACCACGCCATTGCCCACATATTTTCCGTCTTTTCTTCTTTCTTTTTTTTTCTTCTTTTGTTTTTGCAATCTTACTACGGTTCAACCGCTTTTAACCTCTTCATGCTGTAGAACGAAACCATACATTCTTCGATTCCCCACATCCAGTGGTGTGTCAAGAACGCAAAGAACGTCGTTAAGGACACACCCCTACCTCTCCACCTGTCTCTGTCTAGACGCCTGTATTGTTGTGTACCTACCCCGCGCTGCTTTCCTTTGCTCTTAACACCCCAAACGAAACGGCAGACAATCTGCTGCTCTTTTTACATCTCCCTTCTAGCTTCTAGTCTGAGTTTTCTTTCTTTTCACAGCCGCCCATTGCCTGCCACGCCCGCATCTCGTCAATTGAACCTGGTTTATTTCGCTTTCGAGTTCCCAGTCTCTGCCCACTTTGGCGTTCGGCAGAGTCCTCGAGCTGTGAGCATCCTGCGCAATTCTTCGCCTTTCTTCCAAACTGTTCCACAGACGGCTGGGCCGAGACGCGCGATCCCACCCACCACCCTGTCCCCATTCTTGTTAGGTCGGCCCCGTCCACAGGCATGTCGTCATTTTTCTCCCCAGCGGTCCCCAATTGATCCTATCCTTGCAGCTCCATTCTGTCGTCCCGAACTATATTTTTTTTCTCTTCTGTTTTCTTGGCTCCCTCCACTAACAGGCACTGGTGCACTCCCGTTCCACTAAGACCCAAATAAGAAAGAACAACACCTCCAATGCTTTCTTTATATAAAGAGTTTCTACGGCCGTGACTACCATTGACTTTTTTTTCTGCCCACCCCACCCTCTACCCTCATTCTGCATCGCGCCTTCCCTTTATCATTTGCACTTGCCGTACAAGGTTTCACATCTATATATTGTATGCTGTCCTAACTACCCCATCGATCGACGCCACAAGGAAGGTCCCAACGACGGTCGTTCCTTCTCTCTTTAATTACTACTAATACAGAGAGTCCCCGCGTCCATCATTCCTCTCCATCACATCGCCATTCGCTCTTTCCCTCTTGATAAACATTGCGAGTTTCACTTATCACGAGCTCCGAATGCTTCTTTTTTGTCCTTGCTCATAATTTTTAGTCCTCTAATATTCCCCGTCATTTCGTCCAAGCATTGCCTCTCCTCTCCGTTCTCTGCCCACGCCCGCCTCCCACCTCTCTACCTATTTCCGACCCCACATCTACCTCACACGGACTCACCGGAGCCCAGCGCCGCTCCGCGTCACATTGCATCACCACCGATCTCTCTCCCCCCCCCCCCTCTCCTTTCACACATCACCAAAATGGCACGAGGATCCACATCTCCTCCGCAGGGAACCTCACCGATGTCCAGCACGGGCAGTGTTCACACGCAGGAACCTCCCCGCAAGGTACGTCCACAGCACCCCCAATGTATCTAGTATCTAGCCTCGTTGCCATGTGCCTGGCCCACCATCCTCGCTATCAGCAGTATCTCTGCGGCCTATTCACAATGCATACAACATGGTGGTCCGTGGCGAACTGGTAGGGCGGCCATTGCCCACCAGTACTCGGAAGAGATAAGAGATGAGATTCGCCGGGTGCTCGAGCCCTTGAGATACATTAATTTGGAACCTGTAGCTAACCTTTTTTTTTCCCCTCTATTTTAGTCCGAGCGGTCCCACGAAGAAAACCAAGAGAGAGCGTTTATTGCGGCCTCTCGTCGCGCCGACCGCAGCATCGAGGCACGCGTCCAGTCGGCGCGGATGGCGTCCATCATCCACAAGAGACGGACCGGCCGCAGCTTTAAGATTTCCGAGGAGATTGTCTTGAAAGAAGACATGTACGAGGAAGAAGACGACGACCTTCCGCGCCTGCGAAACAACGCCACCCGCGGCTATGGCAGCGTTGACATCTCGAACATCCCGCCGGGGTCGACGGCCGAAGAGCAGCGCGCCCGGGCTCAGCGCGAGGCCGAAATCAACGACTTATTCGCGCGCCACTTCCCGAACGTGTCTCAGCAATACCAGCGGCCCCAGCAGCCTCCGCAGCCCCAGCAGCCCCAGCAGCAGCCACACGCCGCGACCGATCCCCACGCCGCAGAGATCCAGCAACAGCAGATGTACCAGATGCCACAGCAGTACCGCAACCAGCAACAGCAACAGCAACCGGCCGGCCAGTATTATCAGGGACAACCGCAGCCCTTTGCCTCCCAGCCGCACCAGCAACATTTCAGCGGCAACGAACCGTCTTACTTCCACCACCGCGACTCCGTCACATCCTTCGCGGGGAGCAACGATGGCAGCGGTATCTTCCCCATGGCGTCACCACATGCCATCCACGCAAGCATGGGGGGCGGCCACCCGTCTCGGTCCAACTCTGTGGCCGCTGGGTCGGAAATGATGCCCGTCCTTTCCAGCGCTAGCAGCAGCAACGATACCGGCTCGAACTCCGGATCGCAGCCATTGCCGGTCGACATGTCCACGCTTCCTGGCAGCTTTACCATCCCTACCACGGCGCACGACACGTTCCAGTCTTCCGTCGGAAACCGTTTCTCACAGGCGGCTCTGTCACCACCGCTGCCTGGACTCAAATACAACAGCACACCCACCGGAACGCCGTCTGTTTCAACGCCCGCGTCACAAGGTGAGCCACTACAGACAATGTCCCGCAAGCTCTCGCCCGCACCCGGCTCACACCTGCTTATAGATAGCTGCAGCTTGGCGGCAGTTGCCAACCACAGCCCCAAGCCCCACATCCGCCGCGAAAGCAGCGGCATTGTTCTGACAACGTACGGTCCCAATCGCACAGTTACTCCGGTCGCCGACCCCTCGAAGCCCATTGACACAGCTGCCTGGGCGGCAGCCGCAGGCACGGCCGCCCTGACATACCCCGTCTTGGACCCGAACGTGTCCCAACAATTCGTGCACGGCAGTGCTGTCTCCAACCCGACCATGCCTGAACACATGCTATGGTCGATGCTGTCTGAAGACGGCACATTTCCCATGCCTGCAGACCCGACTGCCGAGATGCCATTCCCGCTGGCCATGGCCATGGACGACACCGTGCATCAGTCGATGGACTTTACGAGCGTGCCGACGTCTACCTTTTCGTCATGTCATTCTGTCCACACTCTGGTCCCGGGCTTTTCTCCAGAGGCCATGCAGGAGCAGTTTGGCAGCCGGATCGGCACCCCGGACGGCGGCGCCGGTGACCCGTGGAACGAATGGGTTCATTACCAGGACTAAACACACTTTCTCCCACTCTTGTCTCTATTCATTGATCGACTTGTCTTTTTGTTTTCCGATTTTCTCAAACGATAACGATTCGCCCATCGGCCGATTCGCTGCATCACTTAATGTGCCCCACGAAAGTTTACATCAGAACGACCTTCTTGCACCATTCTCAGCATCCTCCGTCACCCTGTCACTGGCTTGGCACGTTAGATTCCCTCGACCTTTTATATCCAGCGACATATTGTTCCAAAAGACCTGTTTTCCAAAAAAAGTGTTCTACATGCTTCGTCCAGACGGGGCCGATATCCCAATTTGCAGGCAGTTAATTTTTCATTTTTGTTTTGGCTCACTCTCACTTTCTCAGCGTTTGCATGCAGGGCTCATCGATACTTTCCTTGTTGATATTCTCCTTTACTTCACGATGCACGGCTCTGCTTTTTTCTTCCTTCTTTTTGTCCCACCGAGGCATTCAATCCTTCCATCCTTTTCGGCGCGCATTTTTTGTCACTCATTTTTGTCTCTTCTGGCTTATGTCCTTGGAGTATTGGTCTGCTTTTGGATTTTTTTTTAGTAAAGCAAAACACACTGTTGTGGTCGCCACAGTGGGCGGCCGTTCCAATCGGGTAATATGGAGCCGTAACTCGTTGCTGCTCCTTGACGACCGTATATATAATAAATACAACCCTTTTATGTCAACGTCTCTCTTGTATTCTTAGACTTCTTTTCCTACTGTTAATTTCGTCTCACCTCCGGACTTTTTGGTGGTAGTGCTTTAATTCATATTTTAATCCCTACGATTATGGCTCCCGCAAAACCTCGTCAACAGGCCAAATAAACAATATACGACCTCGCACACGAAAGAAATGAAGAACAACAACGCGGCCGACAAGGGGCGGCACAGGTCATTATCTAGCACGTCAACACCCTGAGCGAGCTCGACCGGCGCGCAACGAGCGACTGGCGCGTCGCCTCCGACACGCCGGCCACTAACAGCATCAGGTCCGTGCCGCCGCGCCACTGGCCATCCTCCAACGCCTGGGCAAGCTCCGTCTCCCACATACCCCGTAGTGGGCCGTACGGAACCGCCGGCTCCACCCACTTCCACAGAGGCACGCGGCCGTCACTAAATATGTGTCCTAGAGCAGCGTACTCGCCGTACATAGGCACGGTATATAGTTGGACCACGCCGCCGTTGCCGCCGCCCGGGAGGCCGACCGCGCCGAGGTCGGTAAAGCCACCGTGAAGTCGAATACGAAGTCAGAGGCGAACCAGAAGGAGGAGCGATTTTGCTAGCGGGCCCCCGGCTGTGTAGCGTGACGGTAGTGGTTAGACGGGTTGCCTTTCCGGTCTTGGACGGTAAGGTGATGCAGGCCACGAAGATCTCATGACAGTGCTTATACGTTTTGAGGTCCTGGAGCCGTAGATCTTCCGCCGTTGTCGTCGTCGTCGTCGTCGTCGTCGTCGTCGTTGTGGCTGGCTGTCCCATAGGAGGCACGACCTACTGGGCATCCCAAGTGTGAGAATTTGTGTAAGTAGTTCTACTCCGGGACGCCACACGCAAGAGGAAAGCCTGCACTGCTGGGATAGGGTGTACAGATCGCTTAAGATACCAATTGGAACGGCGCTGGCGTTGAGCTATGCTCGTCTCCCGGTAAAACCATGTTTACGTCGTATAAAAAGAGTAATTAATTCGTTCAATTTTCGTTTATAATAAAGAAAGGCGAACGTAACTAGTGTGATGAAAGGAAAGAAGTAAGAAATGAACGGGCGAATGGTGTTATGACTGATTATCCAGGAGTGAGAGGCCATGTTACGTGTATTAGAACCATCTCTATTGTTTTCTTGTCACCCTGTCCTAATCGGCCGCTGGGAGAGGCTACCAAAATTGGGTCATGACAACTGTAGGTAATTACATAGTACTTCGAAGGGACACAAACGACACTGCGATGGCCGCCAAAAGCAGCGGCCCGCGCCAGACAAAGTGGCGGCGACAACAGTGCTTTCTCGCTTTAAGCTGCAAGGGAAAATACTCGGGATGTATGCTGACGAGAGGCACACTTTCGGAGTAATGGGACACGGATCGTTTGTGCTGCTTTTCTTCGTCTTTGCTGTCCATTTTCAAAACCAGATTCATTTTCAGTTCCTGCAATTTCTGTTGTCTATCTTGCTCTTTGTATTCGACAAAGGAGGTAATGTGTCCACGAACGACATTGGTGTTTTCATATTGTTCTGCTTTATATTTCTTCTGGACTCGACAGTTTCCCCTGCAAGTCCTCTTTTCTCTTTTGGAAAGAATAATTAGTACAATCTTTTTATTTCAGATTGCCTCATTATGTTCTCTTCACGTGTGCTCGTCGCTCAAAGTTATATCTAACCTTTTGAAACATTGCGCAGGCTCCATTGTGAGCTGACGGGCTGTCGCTCTCGTCCTACTGCTGATGTCGTGCCTCTGGGACAGGCAGTCTTTGTGGTGCATACGCGTTGCAAATCAGTGTCAGCAAGCAGCCAGCCGCTGTGGAGACGCGCGATAACAAGATCACAAGCGAGATCAGATGCACCGTCAGACCTGTGGAGCAATTACGGCGTGAGAATACCCTTTGTTTCATCAGAACGCAGTCATGGGGAATGCCACTGCTCCCATAGAACACAGAAGACGAAATACGGCGTTGCAAACACACGATCCGCAGTGAGACCTGTCAAGCGCACACCTTTTTGCTGCTGTCTTCAAACAAGCTCAGCCTCTGCTAGAATGGCTGGGCCTTGTCCACACATTTTGCGTTTCCCTGTCCTGCGTTTTGGCGCCAAGGGCCAATTGGCCCAAGCTGACGATGCTGACCGACCAGACCCTTGTCCCTGGCAAACAGTTTGAGCTGCAGAAGCACCACGACTTTTACAGACAGGACGCCTCATTGGCACCAGTTTGTGTCGTCCCGTCTTTCGCAAGTGTCTATGAAACGAAACAACTCGCTTGCGTCCCTTTGTGATCCTCTCGGCATAAGATACATGAGGATGCCGCAGAAGTTTGATTTCGAATCCTCACAATCACACCAGCGCGAATCCTCCCAGCCAGCTGAACGAAGCTTCCTATTGTAAATGTGGACCAGGCCTACATTGCCCTTTCTCCATTGTTCTCTACGAAATACGTTCCGTGTTTCTGCGATGATACTTATATACTGTCAAGCTTCGCGTTACGCTTCCTTTCAATTGTCGAAACGCGCCGCACGTCTGCTCCCATTGCAGTATGTGCTTTCTGCTGATGGAAGCAGACGAAACATGCAGACGAATGGTGTGCCAAACAGACCCTCCACCAAAAACTCAGCCGCACTGCGCGCCTCGAAGCCAACCTCGCCAACGCAGCAGCCTAGTCTCCCCATAGCGCCTTGTCTCCACATCAATGGTTCCCCTTCTCTTCCCACTCTCTTGAAGAACCCTTTTTGCTTTTGTTCTTAGCAATTCCTTCAGTTGACCGACCCCTGCTCGCCGTGTTGTCCTCGTACTTCGTTCCAACGCAAGCCGCAAGGCCGACGAGGCGTTTCTACGCATGGGCCGGGCATCCCTCTGTGCGCCATGCTGTATTGGGATTGAGCTGGGTTGAGTTGGGAAAGTTTTTAAGTTTCTTCGGACCCTGGTGCATGCACACTCCTCCTGATGGCTGACCGTCAGACAAGAGTGAGAAAGGAAATGGAACGGCAACTATGTTGGTAAAGAAAAGAGGCATGGCGCCACACTCCTTTTATTGCTCACCTCCCGTGATGATTTCTGTATTTTTGGCAATCTGGTTTCCCGTCGTTCTGGGGCTGCTTTCTTCTGTTGTTTCTGTTGTTTCTCTTTCTTTTGGTTTGTTTTCTTCCCACCTTTTGTCTCTCCGTCCTCGGCCATCGTCGTCCTGCTTGCCTGTGTACACTGACAGTTCACCGACAACCCGAGACAGCCACAAAGACAAGCCACGCACGCAAGCAAACACTCTTTTTTTTCTTTTTCGAGAACATGCACCGGTAACAATCGGCACTCCCCGTCTAGAGGAAGAAGAGGGAGCTTCCAGCTCCGATTTAGCAAACTCTGCGACAGCTCACGTCACAACCACGTACAATATATCTCCCTGACTCTCTTACGTCGCAGCCTAACATGACCTTCCACCGCGACCAGGAGCAGTTTGTGCGTGCCCGCTGGCGCCGCGGCATCCTCTTTCCCGCCTGGGCCGTCCAGGCGGCCCTGCTGCTCGGCGTGCTCGGCGTCTTCTCGTACCGCCTTGCCGACACGGCCGAACATTTTGCGGACAACCGCGCCGCCGGCAAAGTGCCCAGCGTCGAGCTCGCGTGGGAGGTCACAAATGTCAGCCTGGGCGTCGTGTCTCTGGTCTTGACCGTCATGGAGGCGGCGCGCTGGCTGGCGGAGACGCTGACGCCGTTCTTTTTGCTGGCCGCGCACATTGTCAAATTGACGGGCGCAGCGGCCATGCTCGCGCTCGACGTGGTCGTGTACATCCACCGGTCCGAGGGCCACTGGTCGGCGGTGGGGCTGGCGCTGGACGTGGTGCTGGTGGCGGCGATGCTGGTGCTGTTTGGCTATGCCGTTTTCACGTACCGGCGGCTGGTGCAGTCGTACGACGACTACTACCACGGGCCGTCGCACAATGCCAAAGGCTTTGAGTTCGGCAACGGGTACGACGAGATCGAGCTGGGCGGCGGGCCGGCGGACCGGACGAGCATGCGCGGCCTCGTGGGCCACAGCGCCGCCATGGGTAGTACGGGTGCGGGGCCGTACAACGACAGGCCGATCGAGTACGACCCGCGTGGTGCGGGCGCGGGCGCGGCTGCTGCAGCGACCGCCGGCGGCGAGACGGGCCGTCGCAGCCGGTCCCACTCGGCTGCCTCGTCGCTGCGCGGCTCTCCGTCGGGCGGACGACCGTCTGGTGTTCTCGCCGACGATGGCCGCCGCGCCAGCTACAACCACGAACGCGACACGCAGTTTGACAGCTACGTCATGAACCGCACCAGCGCCGCGCTCAGCAAGGACGATGTCGACCGGGCCATCAGCACGGAGCTCTGGGGCACGGCGCGGCCGCCGTCCGGATCCATTGCTGTGGACACCGGCCGTACGGGTGTGGCTGGGGCCGTGGAACGCTCCAACAGCGTCGTGGCCACGGGTGTCGTGGCAAGGCCGGCGGCGAGGGTGCAGCGCGACGTGATCGACCGAGCCGTCAGCTGGAACGTGGAGCACGAGCTGGCGTCGGTGCCCGGGAGTCTGCACGAGGATTATGACGGGACGAGCACGCTGCGGACGGTGGGATCGGTAGCGACCATTGCGGAGGAATACGAGGGCGGCCAGGCAGCGCAGGCACCAGCACCGACACGGACACGGGCACCAAATACCGCCGGTCATGCATACGGCGAGCGCGCACAAGACGAGGACGAGGTGGACGCGGACGCTCTGGCACACGGGCGGTACCGCACAAAGGGCGCCAACGAAGACCGGGCGCTGCTGATGGGCCACAGCAGGCACGGCAGCCTGGAAGACGACGACGCAGAGGACGACGAGCGCGGGCCGATCCCAGACACGGCGGCGCACGGCCGTTAAGTGGACGATGGGCGACGTACGACGTACGGATGCATTTGTTTCAAGGCGTATGGCGTGTCGATAGTATTGCTAGTGATGAGTACGCGTGACCAACATGAATTTACTCTGTTATGAGTTGCAATTGCAGAAATGTGATCCATCTAGTTACGCCGCTCTCCCTCCCTCTACTTCGCCTTCCACCGCAGCCGGCTCGCCCACGCCGCATACCGCTGCATCTCCGGCTCCGCCAGCAGCCGCTCGACCGTGTAGTAGTGCCGCGCCAGGTCCTCGTGGTCCGCAAAACGGTGCACCTGCCGGTGGCACGCGCCACACAGCCAGGCCACGTTCTGCAGCTCGTCGGCGCGGTGCCACCCTCTCTTGAGGACTTTGGCGTGCACGAAGCGCGGGATCAGGTGGTGGTAGCTCAGGTTGATCCAGTCGCGGCCGCAAATCTCGCACCCCGCGGCCTGGTCGCGTGTCGAGCGCGGCGGCGGTGGTGCCGCGGTGACGGCCACCAGGTACGACGAGAGCGCCGGGGCCAGGACGTTGGCTGCCGTGCCGACGCCGTAGGCGTCCAATGAGTCGGCCACGGGCGACGGGTCCAGTGTCGGCAGCAGCTCGGTGGTGCGGGACGGGCTCAGCGCGCCCGGAATGGGCACACCGGCCGACGTGCTGCCGTCCTCGGCTACGCCGTACTTGTCACGCAGGGCCGCGTCGGCGGTCCAGACGTGGTGGGCCAGCGTGCGCAGCTCGGCCGGCAGCAGGTCAAACGTCTCACGGGCGACGTAGTCGACAAACTCGGCCAGGTCGTCGGCGGGATTGGCGGAGTTGTCCGTATTGCTGTTGCTGCTGTCGTGCAGAGGAATGAGCGTCTGTGGCTTCGGTAGTGTTTCTGCTGCTGTGCTCTTGTCTGGTGACGCAATGACTTCCCAGTCATCTTCGGCGTCTAATGCGGCATCGCGTTCTGCTTCGGCAAGGGTCCCCATCCCGGCCTTGGCCTCGGCTTTCTTGGCCTTGCGCCTCCGCTGCTTCCTCTTGGGCCGGGCCTCAGGCACTGCTAGCTTGTTGATGAGGACTGCCGCCAGAGCTTCACGATAGATGACATAGTTGGTGTCTGCAATGGCGACGTCGACGACGGCGTCCGCTGCTGTATCTCGTTCCATTGTGTCGTATTCTGTTGCTGGTATCGATGGTAATGTTGGTCAGAAATGACTAGAAAGGACACCCCCGCATCCCCTTGCCACGACCGCGTCGTCACGTTTTATACGACTCTGATAATCATTGTTGACTTTGTTGTTGTTCCATCTCGAGAAGTCGCTTTGCTGTAGGGCTCCACCGGGGACACGTGCCCCGCAGCCTAATGGCAGTGGCTGTCCCAGAGTGCCGTTTCGAGCTAAACGTCAGCGCCTCACCGTAGGTTGACTCACGCGGAGATGGACGACTGTGGCCGCCACCAAGACAGCTAGAATGTTCGCCGTAACGCCGTCGAGTCGCTGTCGTTTTTGAGCATGGCACCTCTCTAGAGGTACCAGCATCCGTGCAAAAACGCCTGCTGCCAAGACAGGCGGTCTGTGGTGACTCCAACGGACGCAGCAGACAAACAGTCCGCTGTACTCCCCGGCATGCGGCTCAACAGGAGTCGAGAGCTCCCAGGAACAGATCATACGGGATTTCGAAACTTGGAAAGTTCTCTTGCTCCACGTATGTGTGTTTTCGCCCAGTGTCCCACGAAGATCCTTGACCGAATCCTCTCGAAACCCTCGGAAACTCTCAAGGGATCAAGTCATACGGAACTCGTGCCACGGCTGCAATACTAGGCACACGGCCGCTCCGGCTCGCTTTGTTGCACCATCTGCAAAGGCAAAATTAAGGAGATTTTGCATCGCGTGGATGTTTCCCAATAAAGTAGCGAAAAAGCCATCGTGGGTCGTTCACCATGGCGGATGCGAAAATAGACGCCACTCCAGCGTCCTAAAACGACTTAGATCCCGCATGATTCGCGGAAGCAGCCGTCAGTACGGAGGCGTACTACAAAACGCTGGCCAGCTTGAAAATAAAACGAGATTGCTCCCAAGGCGTGCCATGCCCATTGCATGTGCCTTCATGCACCCCAAATGCAAAAAGGCACTCGGCAGAGCACAATGTAAGTACGTCGTACGTGCGCGAGGCAGGTCGCCTGCGCACAGCCTGCTGACCATCTCCCTTTGAGAAGCCAAGCTGATCATCCTTTTCGTCTGTCCTCCCACATTTCCCTTCGTGTTCGCTCCTCCTCGTCTGATATTCCCCATCTTGTCGGTGTTGTCGTCTTCGAAACTCTCTTCGTCATGTTTAGTAATATATTTATTTACTTTTTTTGTGTGAGCACTTTTATATTTTCCGCCAAGCAACTCATGCTCGTTCTTTTCCTGCTTCGCTTGGCGGAGTCCAGCGCCCAGCCAATCCGTTGGCTCCGCCACCCTCATTCTCACTGCCGAAACGTGACCAAATGATCGGCGACTGTGTCCAAAAATACAGGAAACGAAGCGAGACAACACAAGATCAAGACCAAGAAAAGAGGGTACAGCCAAGAGGTCAACTATTAAAGGTGTCGTGGCTGCCTCATAATTGACGAGGCTGGCTCCTTCCCTTTGCGTCGCGTTCGTCGGTTGTCGCCAGCCCTTGGAGAACCACGAGCGCACCTTCCCATTTTGACCGTCGTTGAGGGCGACTTCCGTTTGTGGTCTTCATCTTTACTCTACATAAACATCGTGTGAACATGGCAGCTTTTTCCGCCTCATTTCGTCGCCGGCAAGCGCCAGCATCCACCACCGCGGCGACGGCCACAGCCAATGGAGACATCCGACCCCGGCTCGGCCAGTCCATCTTGCACTCTCATTCGCCGTCTCAACGCCACCCTCGCCGCGACCGCCTGCCATCTCTTCAGACATCCACACTGCCTACACCAATACCACAGCCGTCCTCGCAGCCCTCGCAGCCCTCGCAGCCCTCGCAGCCGTCTTCTTCGTCCACCTCGTCCACCTCCTTCTTCGGCTCCCAGCTCGGTGGCCAGTCCGTCATCAACTACTCCTACACCGACTTGCCGTGGAAACTGCTGGCCTATGACGTCTATCACTTCTTCCGCCTCGCCTGGGCCCTGCCCTACATTGTCTGGCCCCTCTGGCCGGCCGACTCCGGCCCTCTCGCGGAACTCAGTCCTACCCTCGCCAACATCTGCTGCATCTCCGTGCATGCCGTGCTGGCTGTGCTGCAGCTCGTGTTCTTGGTCGGCCTGGTCCCTGCGGCGTGTCTGCTGCCCGTGTGGGTCGCCACCGGGCTTGTGCTCGCCTGTCTGGGCGTGAACCACGTGCTGTGCACCGTGCTGCTCAACGGCATCGGCGGTGCCATCGAATACCACTCGCGGCCCGCGTGTGCGCCCGCCTTGCCTCAACACGCCCACGAGCAGTGGGTCTTTCTCAACGGTGTGGCCGTCGGCCAGCACTGGATGCAGAGCAACCTGGACCGGCTGGCGTTGACGTTCAAGCGGCCAGTCCTCGGCATTCACAACAAGACGTATGTACTGCAAACTCCTCTGGAACGCTTTCATGCGACTGCGACGTCCTAACACTGTCAGCTCCGGCATCCTGTTTGATGTCATTGAGTGCCTCGTCCAGCGCAACTACACATACGCGACGCGCGACGTCCGCGTCTGCTACGGCATCTTGAAGGAAACGCTATACCGCCCCGACATTACCAAGGTCGTCTTTCTTCTGCACTCCCAGGGCGGCATCGAGGGCGGCCTCGTGCTTGACTGGCTGCTGCAAGAGCTGCCCCAAGACATGCTGGCCAAGCTCGAGGTCTACACCTTTGGCAACGCCGCCAACCACTTCAACAACCCGCACCGCACCGTGGATGCCCAGAACCGGGAGTTCGCCGCCTTTGGGTCGATGTACGCCGAGCCGGAGACGGCCGAGGCGACCCCGACATCCGCCACCCCCGCCGCCCCCATCGCCAAGACCACGCACCGCACGCCCCTCCTCGTCGCCGAGTCCTCTGCCGTCCGTCCCGCCGCCCTCACCGGCCAGGCCATCGGCCACATCGAGCACTACGCACACACGACCGACTTTGTCGCCCTCTGGGGCGTCCTCCACTTTGTCAGCTCCGTCCCCAAGACGCGGTCCATGCCCCGCTTCCTCGGCCGCGTCTTCGCCCGCGCCTCCCCCCGCGGCGGCCACCAGTTCTGCCAGCACTACCTGGACAGCATGTTCCCGCTCGCCCGCGACCCCGCCACCAACGCCATTGTCGGGTGCGCCGAGACGGGCAACGCGTTTATGGAGAGCGAGGTCGAGGTGGCCCGCGCCGGCGACGAGAGCGCCGTCGTGCACGAGGCGTTTGAGCGGAGCTGGCGGGCGGCCACCAACGGCGCGGGTGCTGCAGCGGCACCGTCTCTCGTGGCGATCCACGCCAGCAGTCCCATCCTGGCACGCCAGGCGTCGCAGCCGCGCCCCGTCAAGGTCAAGGACGTCAGCCGGCTGTGGCAGTACCGCAACGGACGCAGCCCGGACGACGGAATCACGCGTGGACTAAGTCGATTTTCGACCCTGTAGCAGCCCTGTAGCGGCTGCTTCAACCCTTAGTTTTGGATACCCTTTGCCTTGTTTTTTTCGTGTTTTTGTATGTGTCTCTGTGAAGTTGTGGGGGGGGGCTTGAATTTTGGATGTCAAAACTAGCCAATGGATATCAATTTGCAGATAACAGTGCACTGGTTGTTATGTTTTTGTCTTTTCCTTGTCTCCTCCATTGCCTTGCCTAGCCCTTGAACGGCACCGTCCGCCGGAACGTCCAGATACCTTGCTCTGTCGACACCTTGTCGTATCCCAGCACGCCTTCGATAAATGCCAGCACGATCGCCGGATTGAACTGGAAAATATTGTTTGCCTCCGACGTCAGCGTCACCTGGTCGTGCATTGGGCTCGTACCCCAGCACGACTGGTTGAACTCCACCGCCACCGCCGGCGGCTGGCGCGAGTCATGGTGGTTGATCCGGCACCATCGCTTCATATACTCGCCAAGCAGTTTCAGCGAGGGACTGTGGCTGCCCTGGACGACAATCTTCTTCTTGCCGTAGTCGGCCACGATGATGTGGTACGGCGGCCGCAAAAACAGCTCATCGGGCCGGGGCAGCGACTCCAGCGAAGGCAAGTACTCGAGCTTGGGAATCGCCACCTCGGCGCCTGTGGCCGTTTCCACCACGCCCGCCTTGCCCGTCGCCGCGTCCATTGCGACATCCGCCCAGTCGTCGCCGCTGCCACCTGCGGCCGCAGCAGAACGGACCGCCAAGCTCGGTCCGGCCGGCTCCTTCTCCTTAAAACAGGCCAGCAGGCCGCCGCGGTACACCGCCGCAAACTCCCCAGGCACCGTCACGGGCCGGTTGTGCGGGAGGTACAGCAAGAACGACGACCGGTCGTCGGACCATGCCGTGCCGAGCTCCTTCACGACAGGCAGCGACGCATCCGAGCCCGTCACCGTCACAAACAGCCGCAGACCAATCGGCGGCTGCAACCGGTCCATCAGCGTCTCTGCCCACTCTTGCTGCGCCGTGTCCGCATCGTCCACGCCCTCCAGCAGCTCCGCAAACACCTTGCACCACAGCTCGACGCAGCCCGCCACAGCTGTCGCCAGCGACTGCTTGTCTGGGTAGACCTTGTCCAGGTCGCCCAGCAGCTGTATCCACTCCGGGTTAATCGTGACAGCGCAGCCCAGGACCTTGTGGAGGTTCGCGCGGGCGACTTGGACGGGCGCCGTCTCCTTGTCCCAAACGTCGCGGATGGCGATCTGGAGCTTCAGGGGGCTGGCAGACGGGGAGGAGGGTAAGTCAACATTGGCCATGCCGGTCATTTGCGAAACGTTCACTTTGTCTGCTAACTTACATTTTGCCTGCCATTGTGACTGGTGTTGAACGGATGCCGTGGTACAATTTGCCGTTGCGGAAAAAAGAGAAGCTGAAATGGCGGTGCAGCAATGGAAAATGGTTCGGCCAAATAGACGATCTCCCACGTTCAGCCTTTGTGGTGTAAGAGTAATCTGTTAACGGGGCAGCACAGCGTACGTTTCGATGACCAACTCACAGGGTCGGACAACTCTCGACAACAACGAAGCGTACAAAAATATATAAAAAAATAAAATAAAATAAAAAGGCTCGACAAAGCGCCTCCAGTGAAATATCATCAACGGACAATCAACAAATCTGTTCAAGATTCACAAGTCTGGCAATGTATGGCGGTTCTTGCGATGACCCCTTTCCCAAGCCCTTCCCCCCACGTTTACCCTGCAGTCAACCTTCTGCTGTCGTAAAAAGCAAGCAGAGTCCTTTTTTCAGCCGCGAGCTAACGTATCTTAGAGGGTGCAATGCCACTACCCCGAGTATGGAGCAATTACGCGAGAGGCTGCGCCAGCTCTGTTTCTCCACATTGTCGACGACTGCGATAAATCGACCCAGAATTGAAAAATAAGGCCCCTGAAAACGAGACAAGGCGTTTTCGCAGCTTCTAGTGGAACGTTCCGTTGGGAGACTGACAACGTTCACTTCACAGCGTCGAACGATCTAATCTAGTCGTTTTGGTATGGAGACTATCTGCACAAAATGCACAACTCTGCTCGCAAGGCAGCCAGCGAGGCGGTCCAATGTCAAGGCAGAACAGCGAATCTCTTGAAGGTGGAGGCAAGCGGGGAGCAGTTGTTGCTAGCCAAGCAAAGCCTACCAAGAAAAGAACAGCGATCTGAACTGTTTGCAGCAGCACCATTCTGCTCCACTATCATCTGAACTCTTCTGTGTTCAGCCTTGGGACAAGGGACGCAACGGCCCAGACCGTGACCCACAAACTTTGTGCCTGTGACATCAGCACCTGGATGGCGGGCAGCAGCATCAACACCTCGTTTGCTTCTATCTACGCCATACAACATACAGTTCGTCTCCATTGTCGAAATTGTCGAAACTGTCGAAACTGTCGAAACTGTCGAAAGGCCAAACTGCGCCTTGTTCGGCAGGGTGGAACATTGGCCAAGGAACGCCGGCAGGCAACAGATTCAGCTCTTTTCCACCAACTTAGGACGCCAAGTCCCGTCCCAACCTTTGCGAAGACCTTCCAAATGCTAGGCCAACTTGATGGGGTCGTTTCTTGTGGCACTAAATCGTTGACGTTCTCTGCCTGGCCACAGCTTTCTCTCCGCTCTTGACTGACGCATCTTCAGGGGTAAGGAGGCGTCAGTTGGTTGGGAAAAGTGCGGAACGATTTCCAGCGATTGTCCTGCAGCTTGTGGGTGGCCTGGGCCTTTTCAGTGGTCGACAGCAGTGTCCAATGATGTTACACGCCACAACTAGAGTCAATTTCTAAATTCTTTCACCACCTCTCAAACGAGGTTGAACCGATCAAGCTTGAAATCCTCCCATGGGTCGGCTGCAATTTCCCTTAGTCTCCGTCAATTCTTTTCACTCTCAGCTACAGGCGCGTTTCATGGGTCGAACAGACCTTGGCCGTTCGTTTTATCATACAAGAGTGGCTTGCCACGATAAATGCCAAGATAATCTAGCAGGGAGGATGAAGCTCCAGGTACGGCGTAGCTTGCGGAGCACACGGAGGGGCACAGCAACTGGTCTGACCGTGGAGGGCAGAATACTAGTACTAAAGCAATCAGAAGTATGTCGTAGACTGCAAGAAAAAGGGGATAAAATGCCGGGTCCAGCCAAAGGAAAGGCACCAGTGCGACCCTCTTCCCAAAACGGACACAATGCAAGGCACGAGAAGCCTCGTTATGAACTCATGACCTCAGGCGACGAGCCGGACAGGGGAATCTAGTATATAAGTCGGAGCTTGTCTCTCGTTGACGACCTTTCTCGTCACTCTCCTTCCACAGCAACAAAACGGCTTCTCTCGCATCTTCAGATTCCTCACACACCAGCATCATCTCCTTCGTCCCCTTCTTCTCGTCCCGCCCCAAACAAACTTTACAATGCCTCGTCTTACGCCCGCCGAGAAGCTCAGTCTGGTGACGCGCAAGAACGGTAGGTTCCGCCTTGACAGACTGGTCTCCTTGCTCAGACCATGTACTGATATGCACCAATCCTCTGTTTCTAGTCCGCGATGAGTGGGAGAACAAAAAGGAAGAAATGGAGAAGAAGCTCTCCGACAAGCTCGGCGTCGCCTGGACCTTTGACATCAACCCTCTGGCCATCTTTCCGTATGCCAAGGACGACTGGGGCAAGACCAGCCTGGGCTCCATCCTCTACAGCTACGCCGACGGCGCCGTCTACATGCTGAGCTCGTTTGCCGACCGCGAGGACAAGACGAGCGTCGACGAGCTCAACAGCATCGCCCATGCCCACGTCCTGACCATGGACCTGGACGAGGCCGGCAAGAACACGTACAACGGCTGCGAGGTCCAAGCGGGCGGCCGCCTCGCCATCCTGTTCAACGAGGCCAACTTTGGCGTCAACACAGACCAGGCCCTGGACAAGGCCAAGCTGCTGGCCGCGCTCAACCACGCGCCGCCCGCCCCGGGCACGGCCGGCGCCACGACGCTGTCGTTTGTTGCGCGCGCCAGCGTGCGCAGCGAGTACGACGGCCAGATTGAGCCGATCCGGGCCAAGATGGCCAAGACGCTGGCGCGCGAAGACATTCGACTGGAGCCCAACTTTGAGGCGGTGTTTGCCAAGCTGTCGTCGCCCGAGGCGGCGGGCAAGGTCGACCAGGACAACTACGAGCGCCAGCTGGGCTACTTTATGCGCGAGTACTTTGACGGCGTGGCGTACCAGCTGGAGTCGCAAAAGTTTGGCTCGGACGACATGCTGCAGGAGGGCTTCAACGAGGCGGTCGACAAGGGCATCGTCGCCTTCCGCATCGTGGACAAGCTGTCCTACGGCAGCTACTGCGAGGTTGTCGTCGAGGACGGCACGCTGTTTGTGCAGTCGACACTGGAAAAGTACGGCGTCAACATCGGCCATGCGGCCGAGAAGATTATCGATCAGCTGTAAGGGTGCGGCAATGGTTGAGTCGACCACAGTCGATCCATCCTGTCCGCCAGTGGCACCTCTTATGGAGCAGACACTGCGGTGGTTTGTCTTGGCTAGACAATCAGATCCATGTCCATTAATACATAACTATTACACAATTCTTTTCATTGTCCATGTCTCATAGCATCCTGAAGAGCTGTCCGTTTCCGTTCTGCACTCTAGCTAGGCCTTCTACAGTCGGATATCCAGCGTCGCCGCCTCGCCCGGGCTCAGACCGAGCCAGCGCTGCCAGCCTACCTGCAGCTTCACTGCAGCGTTGTCGATCCGTGCCGTCCACGCCGGATCACGCTCGGTCGCCGCCAGCATGGCAAAGCTGCGCAGCGCCCGCAGGTAAAAGGCGTCCTGGTGCCGCGGCTGGTCCAGTGCCGTGTCGTTGTAGAAGGCGCGGAACAAAAAGTGGTCGTCGTCGGGGGGGGTTGCACAGGGAGCGGTGCCTTGCTCGGGCGGCGTCGGCGTCGGCGTCGGCGTCGCCACTGTCGCTGTTGCTGCCACGTTGGGCCGCAGCTGCAAAATGTACACCAGCACAATCTGCGCCCACAGGCAGCGTACCAGGACCAGGGCAATCTCGCTGACGGCCGGGTACTGCAGGCGGACGGCGGCGAGAAACACGCGCAGCGCGAGCACGAGCGACGGCAGAAAGCACAGGTAGACATCAAACTCGGCGGCGCCCGGTGTCTTGTGCGTCCCGCAGGCCAGCGCGACGGTCGTCACGCGGCCGAGCTCCTCGAGGGCGTCCAGCGGGTCGACCGTCTCGGCCAGGTCCCAGCGCCAGACGCTCTCCAGCACGACCTGTCCCACAACCGGCACGCTGGACCAGGGCCGCCCGGCCGCCGCATGGCTCGTGTACCCCGGCAGCACGAGCGGCAGCCCGGACAGGCGGCCGTCGCGGGAGAGGTCGCGCAAGATCGACAGCGGATCGCACGTCCACTTGGGCAGCGGGTGCCGGCCGTGTCTGGACGCGCCAGCAGCAGCAGCAGCACCATTCGAACCAAAGAGCGCCGACCGGCGGCGGGAGTCGGCGGCAATGGCAGCAAACAAGCCGCACAGGCCGTCGTCCAGGTGGCTGGCGGCGAGGGCCAGGGCTTGCTTGGCGTAGGTGGCTGCTTTTATCTCGAACGAGTCGCTCAGGTGGACGAGCGGCAGGCCGTAGCAGCCAAACAGGCCCATCCACAAGGGCCTGGAGCCGCCTTGGAACAGCTCGGCGACGAGGTTGTCGCGCAGTGGTGCGCCGGGATTGATAAGGCGGCGTGCATAATAGGTGCGGAACTCGTCGATGCGGCTGTGGATGTGAGCAAAAGTGCCAAGGCTGGGGAAATGTGACGTCTGACAAAGGCTGACAAAACGGGCCAAAATGGAGAAATTCGGTCTAGGCCGCAATCCGTTGGCAGCCAACTGCGGAGTACAGTAACACTGACAAAGAAAAGCATAATTGACGGCCAACTCCCAACGACAATTCGTCAAACCACCAAAATGACAAATACGTCCTTCAACCGAAAAAATTCTGGCATGGAGTCAAGAGAATGTACGTACTCTTTTTGGCCGAAATAGGCCTCCACTGGCAAATCAATGTCCATGACCGGCCGCAATGCCGATTGCTGGCCACTGTGAAGACGGTATGCGGCCGCATCTGCAGCTCGGATCCGGCGAGCTCGCGGATCGTGGCGAGATGGAAGGCAATCAGGTTGGGCGACGCGTCGGCGTCCTCCCTCACGCCCGAATAGAGCATGTCGTTTTTGGTGATGAGGGTCATGAACGTGCCGTATTGGACGGCCTCGGCCTCGGCAGCGGCTGCGGCCCCGGCCGCATCGAAGAACGGGTGGATTGGGATTGGCTTCAAAGGGACCGGGGGCGTCGTCGGTATCTGGTCACCAGCGACCATGGCGGTGAGGGGGGAGAGAGAGGACAATTTCAACTCTGGGCCCGTGTACGAAGTGACACAGTGGTGGTGTAGCAAGGCTGAGTAAAAGGGGTAATATGTCTGATTGATAAATAGAAATCAGGAGTCTGAGGGTGAAAACGGAGAGAAGAGGTGATGCGCAGAGAAAACAGACACGACAGGTACCACGGAGCAATGCCGTCAGAGTAGCAGAGTATAAATATCTTGACCAAAATAGTTGTCAACAAAAATAAGTGCCGATGTCGACGGCGGGAGCGTATCGGCAAGTTGATGCAGCAGGAACGAGAAGAAAATAAAGGATGTAAACGACAGACAACAATATCCCGCATGAAATGCAGACTTGCCTAAAGGGTAAAAAAAATAAAACAATAAAAAACAGTCCAATACACAATAGTGAACCGTTTGTGCTTTAGTGTTTTCTTTCTTTATATATATATATATATAATTTGACGGTAGCAGATAAGCAGATAAATCAAAAGCGGAACGAAACGTGGACGTAGATATTCAACACTTGTTTGGATTTTCTCGTTTTGCTACACATACACTCTCTCAGCCTCGTTCCTTCTAGATCGTAGCCACCACGAGGTAGTATTTGAGTTGCCGTCTCCGTTTCCGTTTCCGTTCTGCATTGCTGCCTAGAAGACAAAAAGAAAGGAACGAAGAAAAGATTCGTGGTGCCGGCGTACGATAGGTGGTGATACGAGTTGCGGGAGGCGAGGACGCCCTGCATGGTTGACTGCTTTTCGCCTCGTCAGTTGGATTCATCGAGGACTGTGGCGTGGAAGTCGGGCAGAAAGAAGAGAGAAAAGGAGACGCCCTGCAAGGCGCCGTAGTCTATAAAGAAGCCATTTTTCATGAGCCCTTAGCCTGTGGGCATGATATAATATTTGAAAATGTGACGTCGGGACCCGGCACTTTCTTGACAACTAAATAAGTAAATAAATATAAAAGGAGAAGAATCGAGAAGAGACTAGCCATGCATGGACGATTCGCGTAGGCAAACTCTGGACGAGGAGAAGAGGCAAAAAGGACAGGTCGTCCCGCATAGAATACTCAAAGAAGAAGTAGAAGCCTTGTGGGTCTTGAGGATAGAACGGGAAACGGAACAAAGAGATTCAAAATAAAACAAAAAGGATGCGTTGCATTGTTTCGTGGTAGCAGGCAGAGAGAGAGAGAAAATAAAAAAGGTACCATACGACTGCATGGGGCAAATCCCACGAGAACAACTGTCCCAGGAAAATTAAGGTTTAGAGCAAGGAGCGGCCGAAAACCCAAAGGAACAAGTTGAAAAATGCACGGTACTGGCGGTGCCTGGTGCCTGGTGAAGTTGTATGAACAAGCAAATGACCGTTGCGTTGACACATTCGGGCTGTCGGGCTGTCGGGCTGTCGGGCTGTGGGATGTCGGATGTCGGATGCCAAGTTGCACAAAATCGCCCAGAAGCAACGGAATCTCCGTGCGCAGTTCCTTGCACACGCTCAATGTGCCTTGTCGCATTACATTGAATTCACATCTTTCGTCGTAATTCGTATCTCCGCTGCATTTGTTTGAATTGTTTGCCTTTAGTTGGACTCAACCCCCCCCCCCCCCCCAGGCTCACTTACACCGGATATGCTGGATCGGGAAGTTGATCATTCTTGGACCCACTACCCATTAACCATGAACCATTAACCATTAACCATTAACCATTAACCTGCGTTTCTAGTGTCGCGCGCCCCGAGGCTGGGGCCGACCGGATGTGCGGCCTGGCCAAGTGGGCGACTCCTTTGGCTTCTTTAGTAATCTCGTTAGTCCGGTCCTCGTCCGTTTTTGATTCGCCGTGTTTTGGTTCTCCAGCATTCTCTCCTCGCACATTTGTCATTCCCGACAATTGGACCACCCAATGACAATTTCCGTGCTTCTGGAACCCGCTTGGCTTACATAAGTGTGGTTGACGCTGGTCGGCTCCTCCATGTCCAAAGTCACGAAAACCCAAAACTCAAAAACTCAAATCAGCCTCACGATGTCCGCCTTGTGACGCATCATAGCACCACCTGCTCCGGGCATTTTCGGAAGACTGCAGGCTTTGAACATCCAATTGTTTTGTTTCGACGTGACATAGGCGGTCATAGTACTTGATTTGTCTGATTCGGAACGTATGTCCCATTTTTTGGGTTCTCCGGATGCCTTGACTTTCTCTTGTAATTGTCGCCAGTTCACTGCCTGGGACTAAGCCACTCTGCAACATGCAAGCACTGACATTCGTTTGGCTCTGCTGTGCCGTCGCCTACGCCCACGACGGCAAAAAGTGGGCGAACGGCCCGAGCAATGGCGAATTGAGTGGCCATATGGAGTGAGTACGGACTGCCTACTTATTTGACCTTCGGTTTTACATCTGCCGCACGAAATAACAATCGTGAGGACACAGGCAGAAATAAGCAAACGCAAGAGAATGTGTTTTCACTGCATGTACATCTGCGCTCTGACAGACGCGATAACAGTTTACGGGGCGAACCAATTAAAACAGACAGAAAAAGACAGAAGAAAAAGAAGAAAAAAGAAGAAAAAAAAGACAAAAAAGACAAAAAAGACACCAAAAAAAAAAGAGTGAATAATACCGCGCGTACACTTTCACTGACAAACGTGCGACGTGCCGTCGCTATGTGAAAGGAAGAGTGGACAACGAGGCAAACGTGACATAAGCAATGTTGCAATACGATTAGTGTTGACCAGCACCAATGGCAGTGGCTGCAAGGCTGCCCGGACCAAGGACCAAACGCCAAAATCTCCGCATCCTATCGTAAGGTCGCCAAAGCGGACCCGTCTGGTTATCAAACAACAATTTCCAATGCCACAAATGGTGCTGTTTTTACCGTCCGTGTTCTCTTGCCACCTCTCCAAACGAAACGCGGTAGCGTTTGTTTTTGTGTCGTTTTGTTTTGTCCTGTTTGTTTTCACCGTGACCTCCTGTCGGCAGACAATTCATACCATCGGGGGCCGCCACCCTCGCTCCTTGAATTTCTCAACTGTCTCGGAACCACTCGGCGTCTTGCTTTCCTCGCCGCTCTGACAAGGCAAGGACAGCCGGTCCCTATCTTGGCTAGTCGTACAGTCGTTATTCTGCACACTCTGTATGCATATCAGCTCCCAGAACAGGCGAAAAAAATCCGGAACAGCACTGATGTTGCTCCCAGGTTTGTTCACGCTTGTGGTGGGTAACAAGCTGTGAAAACCGTCATCGAGATCAAGCCTGGTCTCACGCGACCTCTGGTCGTTGCAGATGGTTTTGGCTGATGAATCTGGTCGGCCCAGTTCGACCGAGCTCGGCGACCGGTCGTGTTTTGCCCTGTATATGTGTTGTCTTTTCAAAAGTGAGCCAGCATCTCGCGAGTGTCTCGTGCTCTTCATCGTTGCAGTGTCTCTGAGAATTCTGCAAACACTGTTTCTCTCACGCGTTTGTTTGTCTCGTCTCGGACATGGCTCGTGCCTCCTTGTGGTGGTTTTATTTATTTATTTTTCCTTCGGCGGTGTCTTGTGCCGCTTCGCATCCTCGCCTGCCTCTTTCGACTTCTTTGGTACTTCTCGTCATTGTTTTGAATATAATAGCGTTCAGTGTTCCCTGCCGCCTCGTCGTCGATTGTCAATCTTGTTGTTCGTTGCTCTCATTGACTACATATCAATGCGCGGAGAAAAAGGACACAAAACAAACACCCGTCGGAAAAGAGCGTAAAGAAGCAATAGGCATACTGAGAAGAACGACTACTGGACGGTACCTGCGTCTGAGACGATTGGTGGTGTGATTCTGTCAATTTCTGTCAGGATTCCCTCGCTACTTTGTGGTTCTTGTATAACAGGTCTATGGCATCAACTGTGCGCCAGCATCCGTCCTCCCAAGCCCTCTTGCTGCTCTATCGGGAAACTTGTACAGCACATACAACAAATAACAAACCCCTTGCCTTGCATCCTTGCGACGCCCAAGACAGAACGACGGGGGACAAAGACAAGATCCGCCGGTTCAGCAGAATTCTTGTGGGTCTGTGTATGCGTAGGCTGTGTTTGCGTTGCACCATGTCTGAATGTCTGAAAATCTCAAGTCTGACTCTGGCTGCTGGAGAACGTCTCGACAAGCTTTCTTCTGCTGACGACCGAAACTCTGTGTGACCGTCGCCGCAGTGAACCAATTTTGTCGACTACTCGTATTGGCATACTGCCGTAGTAACGTATTTGACGTATTGGCGTAACCTTACGTGCCCTTTCTCCCGATCCTGTCCCACTTTGTGCGTGACGAACCTGCATCGTGCATATACACTTGTGCATATACACTCGTGCATGAACAGCAGTGTACAACGGACGATGGCAGCTGCAACTGTCAATCCAGTGCTCGCACAAGGTCCAGGTCCGACGAGCCCAAAGCTAGACATGGACTCGTAGCCGGTGTAATGCGAAAATTTTCGCTTCCTTTCTCAGGCTTGAGAGAATCGCTGCTCCCACAAACGACGTACAACGGCATCCACAATGTGGACTACATGATCGTCCAATACTTGGCAATTAATCTTCAGCAAGACACGGCGTTTGAACTCACCCCATGCGCCTTTTGTGGCGAAAGCATAGGGTTCTCCTAGTCTCACTCTGTGCCATATAGGAATGCACAAGTACCTACGGACTCGTATCCTGTATGACATGCTACTGTCCACGCGCCCGCTCACAAAACCAGTGAGAGAGAGGCGTGCCAAAGAGGATGTAATTTTCGGGCGGGAAGGCGAGAGGTGATCTGACAGAAACGAGTGCGGCTGCTCCCTGCCGGCATCGGGGGTAAAATGGTCAATGGTCCGTAGAAAGAAATGCTGCCCAGCGTCGACGTAAACGGACCTCCACTGTGGAAAGGTTGCTTCCTGGACACGCCAGCGTCTTTGTTTCTTCTCGGCAGACCTAATTTATGCTTATCCCTGACCCATGTCAAGCGAACCCATGCAGACGGCTTGTCGTGTCTATCGAAAACGAGGTCTTGTCGCGTGTACTCGTGAGCGTGATTTGAATTTAGAGGCTTGGATTTGTACGACCCGGCCAAACACAGGAACCCAACTCGGATATGTATTCTTGTCCGGCATCCTTTCCTTTCTTTCTATACATTTTACACACTTTAACGCAGCGTCAGGGAGCCACGAATCTTGCAAAAGAAGAAGGAGTAAAGAACTAGAAGCTTCATATACAAATAAATTCAATACGACAGGAGACGAGGCGAGTCGGCTGCGCATGCACGAAAAAGCGTTGTTCTTGCTGCTGGTTCAACAGCTGTCGTGGCAGTCCGCATCTCCTGTTCTCAACGCCACCGATACAGTCCATGTCTGAGACCGTCCCCTCAACAGACCTCAAACAGTGTGCAGCTTCTCCAACGCTCTTCCACTCTGTAGCTCACTTCTAGGTAGGTCGGGCGTCTGGGGAGGAGAGGACAGGAGAGGCAGAAGATGGCTCTGCCTCTTCTTCATACCTGTATTTTTCTCATTCCCTAGTGAATGCCGTCCTTCTCCTTTTATCTCCGCCTCATCCCAAAAAAGACAGCACGGCAAGCAATGTCGTCTGTGTGCCTTGTTGTCCTCCGTTTTACATGGCTGCATTTTGTTGTTGATTTTGTATTTCACTGTTTTGCTGCGGATCCTTGGTTTGGGACAGGCTTGTGCTCTTGTGTGACCCCATGGTTTTACCCCATCAGTTTAATCTTCTCATCTGTCCTGATGTCCTTGGCTGTACCGGCCCTTTTATACCGGCCGTATATATGGTCCTTCGTTGCCTCTCTCTTTCTGACCTCTCTCATTGATCAGCAGCCTTTTCTCAACACGATTTGGATGTGACAGTTCCGTTCGTCTGTTCTTCTCTGCTGCTCTATTTTTTCTCTTCCTCAGCCCCTTTGTTGTTCGGCATTCTTTTCCCTTTTCCCTTTTCCCTTTTCCCTCTTTTGTATTGTTTTGTCGACCATTGGACGAGTCTCCAAGTCTCCCACTGCATCCTTTGTTCTGATTTTACTGTTCTTTGGCTCCCTTTTTTGCGTCTTGGGTTTGTTTACTTGCCTCCCTAATTCACGAATTGTCTGCTACGCATATGTCGAGGAAACTGTAATCTTTCATTCGTTTATGATTTTATTCCGACGTTCACTTCATACTTTTGTCCATTTCATTATTTCTCTGCATTCTCCAGATCACACACAACCATGAGGCTCATGGACCTCCTGCTGGGCACAACGGCCCTGGCCGGCGCTGCCCATGCCGCAGACCTGCTCTTTTATCAGGGCATGACCTTTGCCGAATACAGGCAGGCACTGGCCCTCAACTACACGGGTAGGTCGTAGACCATCGCCTCGCCTTGCATCGCGCTTCATTCTGAATTTCAAGTCATGTCGATCCACGTTAAGACGTTCATCACTAACGTGTCAGTGCATGTGGCCTCCAAGGCCGAGTGGTACGCCATGACGACGGCCGACTTTGCCCAGTACAAGGCCATTGTGGTGCCCGACGCCGACTGCGGCAGCCTCGACCAGATCCAGTTTCTGAGCGACACCAAGGCGACCTGGGGCCCCGCCGTCGTGGGCAACGTCATTGTCATGGGCACCGACACGACATACCACGCGTCGACGCGCCCGGGCGCCGTGGCCCTCATGAACGACGGCATCCGGTTTGCGGCCAGTGGCGGGACGGACGGCCAGGCGGCGCGTCGCCCGGCGACGGGCCTCTACTTCTCGCTCTCCTGCTACTACGACGACCAGCCGTTTTCGACCGTCGATGCGCTGACGCCCTTGGGCACGTTTGTCGCGCAGGGTCGGCTGAGCTGCTTCGACGAGGCGCGCATCGTGGCCACGCCGCAGACGTCCGACCGACAAGCGGCGGCCAACCCGGAGGCGGCCAACAGCAACAGCGCGCCGCAGCTGCAGCTCATCTCGGACGGCAACCTCAGCAACTGGTCCTGCAGTGCCCACGCGCTGATCCCGCGCTACCCTGCGGGTGGTGCCAATGGGTTTGCCCCGCTGGCCGTTCTGGAAGATGCAGCGGCTGCCCCGGGCGCCGTGGGCATCCACTCGTTTGCCGGGGGTGTCCGCGGCGTGCCGTACATCGTGGCGCGCGGCGTGACGCCGCTGGGCTGCGGCGATGGCGTGGTGTCGCGCGGCAGCGGCGAGCAGTGCGACGAGGGCACGGCCCAAAACGGTGCCGCGGGCGGACTGTGTTCGTCGACGTGCCAGTGCATCTTTGGCCTGGACAGTGACAGTGCGCGCCAAAAATGTGCGGCCAAGCCGGCCGTGTCGGCGTCGGCGTCCCAGTCGGTCCCTCTCAGTGTGCCGATCGAGACGACCACCACGACCACGACCACGACCACCACGACGGCCGTTTCAATAGCTACCACGACCACGACGCGGCTGTCTTTTTCACGAAGCGAGAGCGCGTCCGTTCCGCTGTCTACGGCGTCGTTGACGTCCTCGTCGACGTCCTCGCTTACGTCCTCGCTTACGTCCTCGGTACTGTCATCGAGCGCGCCGTACGGCAACTCGAGCTCGGCTCCTCCTCCATCGTCGTCTCTTTCTCTGTCGACGGCTCCTGTGTCGTCGACGCTGCCGGCGTCCTCGTCGCTTTCCTCGGTTCCTTACAACACGTCAAGTGTCTCCTCCTTGTCGCCTTCCCCGTCAACATCATTCTCGTCCTCGCCGACTTCGTCGTTTATTTCCGCAAACAGCTCCCGTACCTATCCCGCGTCGTCCTCCAGCCTGACGCCGACCTCGTCTTCCTCTCCTACGACGTCGCCGCCCAGCACTTCGACGTCCCGTTCCACCTACAGTTCTGCAGTGTACAACTCGTCAGCGTCCTCTGTCGCGAGTTCGGTTGCACCTTCTTCGTCCAGCTACAGTTCGGCGGTATATAATTCGACTGCATCGTCTAGTGTACCGACTTCGTTCAGCCACAGTTCCCCAGCCTTCAATTCCTCGACTTCGCCGACTGGTCCCGTTTCGTCCAGCTACAGCTCGACGGTGTACAACTCGACGACTTTGTCAAGCCGTCTTCCACTGTCCTCCAGTTACAGCTCCGCTGTGTACAACACCTCGACGTCGTCGGCTCCTGTTTCTCCGTCCCGCAGCTCGGCCAGCTACACCTCGTCGACCGGGCCTGCTTCTTCTAGGTACAGCTCAGCCGTGTACAATTCGTCTGCCTCGTTGACCTCGCATTTCACATATTCCAGCCACAGCTCCTACAGCTCAGTCGTTTACAATTCGTCAACATCAACGGCGGGCGTCATCTCTTCCAGTTACAGCTCCGCCGTCTACAACACGTCGACATCGTCGTCCGCCCCAACCACCTCGTCGAGCTACAGCTCTACCGTTTACAATTCCTCCACATCGACATCCTCGATTGTCCCCACGTCCTCCAGCTATAGCTCTGTCATAGCCAACACGTCAACTTCGTTGGCTTCTCCCACATCCTCCAGTTATAGCTCGGCGGTCTACAATTCCTCCTCTTCGTCCGTGCATGTGGCTTCGTCAAGTTATTCATCGGGATACAGCACATCGACGTCCTCAGTGTCGCCTGTTTCGTCTAGCTCTATTTCTAGCTTCACTTCTTCGTCGGTGCCTTCGTCAAGCATTTCCAACGGTTACAATGCCTCGACGTATTCGGCCCCTCACAGCTCGGCCTCATCGTCTTCCTCCGTTGCACCGTCAAGCTCCTTCTCGTCTGTCTACAACTCATCGTCCTACTCGGTCTCGCCCGTGTCGTCCACCTCTGCCTCGAGCTACAGCCTGAATAGCACGTCGTTGTCGACACTGCCCTCGTCGTCGAGCTTCCCGTCATCTTCTATCCTAAACAACTCCAGCTCGTCAGTCCCCTACTCGTCGAACATCTACTCGTCGAGCGCATTGCCCTCATCCAGCCTAAACAGCTCAACGACTACGTCGGTCCTGTCGACGCGGTCCAGCATCTCTTCGGCGACCTCCGTCTCCAGCACGGCATCAAGCAACCTATCAACAACCTACAGCAACAGTGCTACCACTGCTCCTCCTTCATCGCTGTCGTCGCGTGAGCCCTCATCCTCACCCATTACCTCCTCCTCGTCGACAACAACAGACCGCTGCGGCCAGTACATTGGCGTCGAAATTGTCGTTATCATTGACATTGTCGAGATCTGCCCCAGAGGCTCGACCTACACAATCACGTCCACCACCACCATAGAAACGGTCACCAAATCCATCTGCAACTCCACAACATCCTCGGCGTCGACCATCAACTGCTATGGCTGCCAGCCTAGCAACTCTACTCGTCCCGGCAAGCCGGACGTACCTGACGTACCTGGCGTCCCCAATGTGCCTGATGTGCCGGGCTACCAAAACCCGCCGTCCGTCGAGACGACATTGACCACGACATCGACGTCGTCCACGACACGCGTCCAGAATACCGCTGCTGCGGCGACCGATGGAGTCCGCCGCACTTCGCCCAAGCACCCCGACGGCTACATGGTCCGCGTCCTGGGTACGTACTTTGGGCGCTCTGCCAACAAGAACGGCGAGCGTACCGCGAATACGGCGCAGGAGGAGGAGGAAGAGGAGGAAAAGGCAGGGACGGAGGTGCACAGCCACGAAAATACGAGGCCGACAGTGTCGGTCACGCCCGTGCTTCCCACCCACCACACCACGGTCACCCGCGCCTCGCAGCACCTCGAGACTCTGCCGACGTTGATTGCCATCCAGAAGCGCGAGGGCAGTGGCGATGGCAGCAACGGGGACAGGGACCCAGGGGACGCTCTGAGAGACACTGCCTCTGGAACACCGGGTGTTCTTGGCGTCGGTTTTGAGGCCGACGCCAAGAGAGCGTTAGGAACGACTGCGGAGCGGAGCGAAAAGGTGTCGGACCTGGACTCCGCTCTGTCGGCTGCTGCTTTTCCTGTTGTCCCTGCGGTTCCTGCGGTTCCTGCGGTTCCTGCTGCTCCCGCCCTCCCCAACGAAAAGCGTAGTGCCGTGCCGAATGTCGATAACCAGGAAACGCTGGTCGCAGACGGCAAGGGCGAGAACCCGGCCAATTTGCCCCGTCCACCGTCCTCGCTACCGGCCAGTTTTGCCGATTTTGAGCTAACAAGTGCAGCCCATAGCAGCGGCACGAGCCGCAGCCGTGGCAGCTTCATCGCGGCAACCTCCAAGGCGGCCCTACGCACAGCTGCCTTGGTCTGTGTTGCTGCTGTGGCTGTTTTTTAACGGATACTGCCAAACATGAATCAATGTATTTCATATGCTTTTACTCCTGTTTTATTTTTTTTTTTTTAATTGTTTATTTTTATATTTTGTTTCGCTCTCTTGGCCCTTATTTGGTCCTTTTCTTCTAACATCGTTGTGCTGCTGTCCTTTTTTGTTTATTTTTATTTATTTATTTATTTATTTTTTTGCGTAATTTCAGTTTCATTTTATCCCACTTCATCAGTTTAGATTCACAGTTTGCTCGCTGAATGTCTTCGTTTAATGTTGTCATTTTGGTCATGCATTACATCACTTGAGCAACAATTTCCTCGCTGTTGTCTTCGCTCACTGTCCACCCCCCCGTCGCTGTCGTTACTTGTGTTCGTCCTGGTTCCCTAATTTATCCTATGCTATTGTGATATTGTTCCATCACACCTTAAATTATTTGGTAGCTTTCCGTCTAGTAACTTCGGCCGTCTCCAGGTTCTTGTATTACTGCCATGCACATCTTGATTCATGAGCTTAGCTACCTCGAAATACCTTCTACCTTCGTTTTACCATTTCGTGTGTCACTTTCAACCTGGCCAGGCCTTGTGATATCCCCCTTTTGGGTCTTTTCTTTCCGTTCTGGTTTTTTTCTCCCCTTTTGCGTCTTGACACTTGCTGGGGTAACAAGCGCTGTGGGGTTGATCTGAGCTGTGACAAAACCGTGAGGCTGGGCTGCAACTCGGGGCGGCACTGCCTCCATTTTAGAGTTATCGCGCCGTTGACGCTTTCTCTTCTGATATGACTTCTGGCTAGACTCAGCACTGCGCTTTTTTGACACCGTCTGTTTTACCAGAGGACAGGGCTTCTTATCCAAGACTGTATCTATTGCTGATGAGACCGGTGGCATATTGGACACAGAATGTTGATGCGAAAGGGAGGGCCCCTGGTTGTGGGAGAGGCCGCGATCGCCAACTACATCTCGAAGTGATTGCTGCGACTTGGTTGTAGTACATGTTCCGTCGCCGGAAACTCGAGAAGCCTCACCTTGCGACTGAAGCTGGAGGGCTTGACTATGAGTTGCAAGGAGAGATGTTAACTACAGCAATTGACATTGTTCTGGCCGCTATATTGCCATCCCGATGTTTGACTTACGTTGTCTTTGGATGTACGAGCTCAATGGGCAACGAGTCAATGGAAAGGAGCTGCTCCAGCCCCTCATATTCAGCTGAGTAGGCATCGCGCATGACCAAAAGGCTTCCAGAGAGGGATGCCATGCGGTGAGCCAATTCCTGGTAGTGCTGGCTGAGTATACCAATGCTCTCGGCAGGCTTGCATTCTTTCCCCAGTTGGCTAATGAGCCAAGCAACGTTTTTGATGTCCTCAATAGCATCATCTATTGCTCGAAATTAGAGAGGCACTATTTCTTGTTCCAGTCCATGTATCCCTGCCGTACAAACACTCACACGCATCGTAAAATGCCGGGGCCAAGCGGTAGACCAGCGCTCTGCGGATATGAACTGGCTTTGCGTTCCATTCGAACTTAGCATCGTCGCGTATTACTGCCTGTGCAGCGGCATTTGGATCGTCGATAAACTTCTTGACCATGCCCAAAACGAGAACACCGCTGTCACAAGCATTTTCTGCAAGTGGCGTTGTTTTGGGGCAAACAAAGTTGTCCACGGCGCATGCAAAGCATGTTTTGAAATAATTCGCAAGGAAGAAGGCGGGTTCGTACTGCATTTGATGTGAGGTGTCCAAACAGAGCGTATGGCCAATGCGTGTGCAAACAACCAGAACGAACCAGCGTTCACCTTTGACAATCGGGCATATCACATGGTCGTGGCAATCGAACTGCACTGCTGTCGAAACAACCTGACTGCCGGCCTGATGGAGGGTCCTGTAATCCCAGGGTGCAAGAAGATGAATTGAGCCATCATGACCCTTTTCATCAATCAGCTCTCGTATTGTATGAACGACATCGAATTCATTCAACCCGCCTTTCGTGACTCGAGAAAGGCAGTTGACAAGCTGGCTTTTAGATCCTTCGGTTTCGACAAGGTAGTCAAGAGCAAAGTCAAATGAACCGTCACTGGTTGTGGTGTAAGTGGCCGGTTCCAATCGAGTATTCTCGCTGAGGTCCTCTTCAGGCTGCAAGCATCGAGTCTCAGCTGTGGCAATGCTATCCAACTGGGGATTGGTGTGAACAGACACCGTCCAAGAGTGTCTCTGGAAGTCACTCTTTGGTTGAATATAGCTCTGCCAAAATTTGAGCCCTGTCGTGTGGTGGTGAGCGTGAGCTTTATCCGCGTGTAAAGTTGCAAACTCACACTCCACGCATTTGAACGCTTGAAAAATAGGAAGCCCCTTCAATGGCGATGATCCATCTGGTGCACGGGGTAACTTCTTCAAATTCCGTAGCCCAAAATTAATAAACGAAGATTGTATGGGCTGGCAGTCGGCGGCCGGAATAGCCTCTCCGTGCCAGTCTAGTCTGTGCTGGCAGTATGCCTTCGACGAGGGGCCTATGGGATAGGTGAAATGGGTGCAACTTGCGCAAAAAAGACACCCCAATTCCTTATCAAGGCGAAGGTCGTATTTTTTGAGCGTCGTCTCGTTCCGCCGGACATTTTTGGAACGGGTCATCATCGTTCGGCAGTGAAATGTGAGATTATGGGAGAGAGAAGGGATCGCCAGCACATCCAGTACGGAGCAGCTAGTAGGGATGCAGCAGACGGTCTTGCCTACTGGAACCAGAGCGTCGATGCTGTTGCAGCACGAAACTCAGACTTGTCAGACGAGGTGCATCGGGCCGTGGGTAGGGTGGGTTGTGCGAACACATCGAGCGAAGCCTGATGTCGTGATAGATGGTCACAAAAACAAATGCTACGAGGATGGGGCAAGAGCGATGCGTGAAGACATCGCTTTGAGTCCAAAAATAGAAGGAGCATCGTCATGTCCGTAAGGAAAACGGAAGGAACCAGCTCGCACGTGCTTCCCAGACAGTACAATTGTGTCTTGCGAAAGCGCCCGCATTTATTTTGGCAGCCGATGATACAAGTCGGCGACGGTAGACCTGAAGCTGTCACCTCTGGTGGGCAGCACCAAACGTTTTCCCCTCCTTGCATGCCTTCGACCCTCGCTACGCTCTTCAGTCGTCGAGTCAGCCTCGACAGCCCCGCAAATCCACAGGGCTGCAGTGCTGCGTACAACAGATATCTCTCGCCGAGGATTGGAACAAAACAGCAAACAGCGAGGTAAAGACAATTGACAACCAAACAAGGAGCCGTTCTCGACGGCCAGCTGCCTCGTCCGTCTCTTGACTGCCCGGAAACAAACTATCGATCCGCTCATGGCCACCTGGGCCACCCAAACAAAGAAAGTCACCCGGATTTCGATAACGCGTGCAATGTTCCGGCAGAACGCCAACCCTGGGACTAGTGTGGACTAAGTCACGTGTAGCCTCCCCATTTGGGCATATCCAGCCAACGAGCAGCAGGGGCCAGACCAAAGGGACTGCAGGGGACACAAAGTTCCACCCTGTCCCTCCTCTGCAGAAAAGCTCTCGTGTGCTCCTAGGCACGGTCTTTTTACGAGCATCACTTTCTTTTCTCCCTATCCGCTTGAGCAAACTTCCTTCCTTCGCACAACTCCGTGTTTTCGTGTTGGGATCCAAATGCCAGCTTCGCCTCTTTTATATCAACGTTGAGGAAGAGCCCGCGCTACAGAAATCCCACTTTTTTCAACCGTCACTTTCTCCCTCAACGACCCAATTGCTCGGTTGCGACCCCTTTTCTTCACGACCCGCCTGTTTTCGCTTCCGTCTAAATCTAGCTGCCTTTTGAACATCCACGCGTTCAATCCCGCTTCCTCTCCGATCCCGGCCTGGCCACCCTTTTCGACCCCGACTATCGCAACGATCGACTACCGACACTCAGATACCATGTCGGCAACCACAACGACTTCGGGACTGACCAGACGAAGGGGCGGCGGCGGTGGTGGTGGCGCTTCTGGTGCTTCTGGCGCAAACGGCAATGGCGCAGAGACTCCTGACAGCGGTCCCAGCAAGGACAGCGCGCCGGAGACGAGTTACGAACAGGGCGACAATGGGCACAAGATAGCATTCGACCCGCGCGATCTTAGTGAGAGCGCCGAGCGCAGCAAGCAGCCCAAGCTCACACTGATGGAGGAGGTTTTGCTGCTGGGTCTGAAGGATAAGCAGGTAGGTTGACGCTGACACGGACAGGTATTGGGCTGAGCCTTGTCTTGTCCTGTCCGACTGTCTCACGCATACTCTCTCTCTCTTTTCTTTTGTTCTTTCTCCCTAACGCTTGCATCAGGGCTACCTCTCGTTCTGGAACGACAACATCTCCTACGCCCTACGTGGCTGCATCGTCCTCGAATTGGCCTTCCGCGGCCGTATCAGCATGCAGAAGGACCCTGGCCGCCGCCGGTTCCCCCTGTCCGACCGCGTCATTGAAGTGATTGACGATACCCTCACCGGCGAGGTCCTGCTGGACGAGGCTCTTAAGATGATGAAGGCTAGCGAAAAGATGAGCGTCAGCGCGTGGATCGATCTGATGAGCGGCGAGACCTGGAACTTGATGAAGATAGGCTACCAACTCAAGCAGGTTCGCGAGCGGTTGGCCAAAGGTCTCGTCGACAAGGGCATTCTGCGGACAGAGAAGCGCAACTTCTTGCTCTTCGACATGGCTACCCACCCCGTCGCCGATGGCGGCGCCAAAGAAGAGATCCGCCGCCGTGTCCGCAACGTCCTGACCCAGCGCACCATTGTTCTTCCGGCCTCGCAGTTCCTGCCCGAGAACCTCGAGTTCCGCAACCTGCGCACCATCGCTATGGTGTGTGCGGCCTACGCCGCGAACGTCTTGGAGAATGCCCTAAGCACACTTGGCCACGAGGCGCGCGAGCGTGCCTTTGCTCAGACCGACGAGCTGCTTAACGAGTACAGCGTATGGCCGTTCACACGCAAGGCGACGGTTCACGGCATCGGTGCCAACCTACCACAGGTTATTGCAGAGGTGGGTTTTTTTATGTTATTTCTGGTTGACAAAGACGTATCTGTTCCTCGTCTCTGGTGACCTTTTGTCGACTAACTCTGTTATAGGAAATTGCCAAGGCCAAGGACCGTGAGCTTCAGCTGGAAGTCGTTGCCGCATGCCTGAATGTTTTTACTAGACTCGACTCGATTCTGTAGCGGTTGAATTCCGAAATTCCGAAGGACTGTTCACACTGCTTGATCTAAAACGACAAGAAGAAAACTACTCCAACGACTATAAAATCACTATCCCAACGAATCTCGTTACAACGCTTTGCTTCAAAATTCATTTAAATTGAACGCATCCAATCATCGATTTTGTTGCTATCATAATGGTATCATGACTATACCAAGGATTTTGCCGATGGATGATGGAGAGTGGTGGCTTTAGAGCAGCTGAGTGCTGCAGACCTTTTTTTTGTCGGGAGACTGGCCAGAGGCTCTGTTTATGAGGTTTCGTTTTATATCTCTTGATGCGGCTCTCTCCTCGCGCTGGTGTTTCTTTTCTCATATATTTTATTTATGTTTTTCGTGCGTTTATTTCGTTTCTTGTTTCTTTTTGTTTTGCTTTTTCTTTGGAAAGGAAAAAAGAACACAAAACCTCTCGTTTTATTACAAATGGACTGGGCGTTATTAATTTCTATATCATATTCACAACCATTTTCACATTCAACTATTCGACGAGGTCCTTTACACAGTTGAATTAGCGAGGCTGATATACAACTGAACAGGACCACCCGTCACACGTACTGTCAAGCAAATGAGAATCAGGTTAACGAAATAAAAACAAGGAACTTTTCATATTTTAAACGCTCTTCTCATGTAGACAAATAATAATATGACAAAAGAGAAAACAAGATGAACAATGATAGTTAAACCACGCCAGAACGCCGCCTGTAAAGGTATGCCCTCCTGACAATACAAAACCACTACAAAATAAAGAAAGATGGAAACAACAGCGAGAAAAGCAAATCAGGACAAAGACAGATGTGGGCGGCGTCGTGTCTACTTTCTCCGGCCGCCAAACGACGAGCCCTCGAAGCCCGGCCGGCCGCCCTTGCTCTTTCCACTGCCCTGCTTGGCTCGTTTCGACAGACCCGCGCGGTGCAGCATCTTGTCTTCTTTCCGCTTGCGCAGGTTGTCCTCGCGCTTCTTCTGGCGGTCCTGGATCGACTTTTGCACGCCGTCTTTGCGCTCGCCCCACTCGCGCTCGCTCTTCTTCTTGGCCTTTTCTTTGCGTTTGATCGCCTTCTTAAGCAGCTGCTCCGTGGAATGGCGCGCACCTTCGGTAGAAATTGCGCCCGATGCAGCAGCGGCCGCAGTCAGACCACCACCATCGCCTCGCCCGACGCCCTCGGCACGTTTCCGCGCCGCCAGCCACCGCTCCTTCTCCTCGACTTCACGGCGCTGGACGTCGTCCATCTTGGCCAAGCGCTTCTTTTGTGACTCGAGACGTGCCAGCTGGGCCTTGACATCGGACGCGGCGGGGCCCTTCTTCTTGGCGCTAGCGTCCTTGACGTACGACAGGTCGCGCGACATTTGGGAGCCGTCGGCAAAGGTGACACGGCCGAATGAAAAGTTGGTTTCGATCTCGCCCGTGCTGTTGGCGGCAGCGGCACCGTTCATGCTGCTGCTGCTGCCCAGCTGAACGAGTGGCGAGTCCCGTGCTGAGGCAATGGCCTCCTCGCGCTTGCGGTCCTCCTCAAGGCGGGTAGCCTTGCGCAGCTCCTTCTTGTGTGCCTTGCGCTCAGCTTGCTTCTGGCGGCGGGCCTCGATGAGCTGCTGACGGGTACGAATGACGTTGCCACTGCTGTCAAGCTCGTCAACGTCGGCTTTGCGGGCGGCGCGGAGAGCCTCGATACGTGCAGCAAGGCGGGCACGGAGTGCCGAGGTGTCGGCAGGGACTTGAAGCTTGGTCTTTGGCGGCGTGCCAGACGTGGTGGAGGCAGTTTCCGTAGAGGGGTTCAGGAGAGAAGTCGAGAAAGAAGCGGGGATGGAGACTGACGAGATGGAGGTGGTCGTGCTCGAAGATTCCCTGGCTTCGGTGGAAGGTAGAGGGGTGTCGAATGTGTCTGAAGGGGTAGGGGACGGTGAAGACGGTGCTGAAGGGACATCCTCGTCACCAAGAAGGGCAGCGAAGCCGGCGCCCGAATGGAGGCTGCCATTGTGTTGCTCGTGTTCATTATCAGAATCGGCCTCAAAAACTTTGGCTACTGCGGCCTTGGCCTCCTCCTTCTCCTTCTTGGTATCCTTGGCAGGTTGTGGTGCCTCCTCAATCTTGCGGGCCATCTTGGTGTCCTCATTCTGAGCAACGTTCTTCTCGGACTTGTTCTTGCGCTTCTCAGCCCGCTTCTCAGCCTTGGCTTGCTTCTTGATTAGCTTCTTCTGCTGCTTTGCAGAGAGGTTAGCATCGGCGAGGCTGATACCCAGGTCGCCGTCTTCGTCGTCTTTCTCGGCGGCGTTGGCCACTTTTTGCTTCTTGGCCGCACTCTCGCCCTTCGCAGCCGCTGCTTCCGTTTTGGCCTTCTTTAAGCCCTCACCCGGCTGCTCCTTGACAATGTCACCAACAATGCTGTCGTCGTCATCGTCGTTTTCAGCCTGGCTGTCGTCCTCTTTCTCGTCCTCGTCCTCGTCCTCCTCGTCGTTACTATCCACGGCCTGTTTGCTACTGGATTTTTTGCCCTGGGTGCTACCGCTCATCTCGGCAAGCTTCCGCTTGTTGCGAGCCGCATGCTCCTCCATGACTTCTTTGACGCTCTTGTTGAGCTCGTTTTCCGGGTCGAGATTGGCCCGGCGGGCAGCGTTCTTTTCTTCTTTGGTCTGCTTTTTTCGGCGCCATTGTTCCTAGAGTTGGATTTGTCAGACAGATTTGCTCTTTTACCTTTTCGCCTTTCGACCTTCCACTTGCGGCCGTATCTCGACGTTCATCACAGGTTGGAACTCACACTTGGCTCGTCTCCATTGCCGTAGTATAATTTGGCCGGGATCAGCGAAAGAAGGCCATCAAAGGCCTGTGCATGCCCACGCAGGCGGTCCTGTGAAGAAAGAGGTCGGGGTTAGTAGGATGTTCACTTTGTCTTCTGCCTTGTCAAATACACGCAAGTGTAAAAGAGAACATACCTGCAACGAAGAGCCCGCCATCGTTGTGTCTATATACTAATGCTCCCAGGTGCGTACGATCTGTTGTCTGGCCGTGAATTAAAGTAATGAAAATAGCGATCGGAAAGGGAAATGCTTGTCGTTCGTTCTCGAGGCGTGTACGTGAGCAAGGCTCCTTTTCGGGAGACCAGAGAGGAGGTTGAACGGTCTTCCAATTTTCCTCCCACTAATTTTTTTTCTGCCGGGCCTTATTTTCGTTCTGCCTCACGACTTACGCAGTAGAAAGGCGGTAAAGCACGGGCGGGTCCCTATATTCTGGAGTGGACCTGGCGGCTGTCGTTCTAGCACCTATTTCCTCTCCCCGCTTTCACCATCCACTATCGTCACGTGCGATAACAAAATGAACTAGCCTGTAAAGCACGTCAAATAAAGGGCAGGAAAGCGCTGTAAATGAGTGTATGGCGCTGGTGGTGGTCACTATGCAAAGGGCTTGCATTTACTATTTAGCCTAGCTTTAATTCGACATTCTCGTGCAGCTGACACGATCGTACTTCATGCTCATCGGATTGCACGAAGAACGGTCGACAGAAATTAAACCCGTACTTGATACGCTTACCTCTTACAGCTCAACGTATTGTTTCAACAATTATTCGTATCACGATGGTCAATAAATCCTAACACAAAATAATATATTTTCTCTATTGGTTTTCTAATCAAATCAGAGGCCTGTTCTAGCTGGTCCCAAATCCCTTCGTCACCATCGCTTCATGACGAGGCTCGTATTTTTCTTTTCTTCATCATGCTAGACCAAGCCGTCGAGAGATGCCGTAAATCATCGTTTGGATTGTCCATTGGAAATCCCCCAGTTAAAAAATGACACAAATTGGACTAGTTCCGTGTAAGTCGTTTGCGGGCACCGCATCAAGTTTTTGTAACAGCGCACGTTCAGTTTGCGTCAAGTGTACGTAGGAACTTCCCCGCTCCACGTAACCCTCGGCACGTAGACAAAGCAGCTGTTTAGCCCTGCTTCTCCAGGTCGTCGAGCTCCCGCAGCACGGCCGACTTTGTTCCAATCTTCTTGATTTGGGTATCCTCCAGCTTCTCACCACCGGCATGGCGCATCTCCAGGTCCTCAATTGCCCGGATCTTCTTCTGCAGACTACGAATCTTCTTCGCAATCGGGCTATTATTGCCAGGCGAGAGCGGGTCGTTCGCTGCGAGAAAAGCCGGTGCGGAAGGGGCAAGCGCGGACGCGTCGTTTACCGGCGCTCCGCCGTTTTGCTGCTGCTGGTAACCACCGTCGCGGTTGCGCTGCGTGTTGCTGCGGTTGCGCTGGCCGCCGGCCGCGTTGTTACGCGACTGGCTGCGCGAGTGCTGGTGCTGTCCATTGTTCTGGAATTGGCTGCGCCGCTCCGGGCTGCGGCCGACGTCCGCGGCAGAACCGTTTCCGTAATCCGCCGTCGGTGGGGCCAGACCGCCGGCGCTGTTGTCACCGCCGGCGTTGTTACCGTCGGCATCTTTATTTGCCTTGCGGTTTCCACGCTTCTTCTTGTTCTTTAGGGCGGCCTTCGACAAATTGTCAGCAGTGTCGGCAGGCTCCGCTCCCGGAACAAATACAGGCGCCGCCGGTGACAGTTCGACGAGCTCAGCACCAGGTACCTGACGGCGAGCCCGACCGAAGCCATTAGCAGTGAGCGCACTGAGGCTCGTACCGCTGCTACCGTTACTAGCAATGTGAGCAGCACCACCCTCGTCTTCGCGCTTGAAGTGCAGGGGCGTGGAAGCACCGCGTGCACCAGGGGGGCGGTATGCGCCAGCGGGCTTGGACGGAGTCTTCTGCGTGCCGAGGTACGTCAGCGCCGATGGGTGCGGCGTGGGCACCGAAGTCAGCGGGTCGACGACACCAGCAGCAGCAGCTGTGGCACTGCCCTTCTCCAGCGGACGCCAGATGACATTGTAAAGCTCCACCATGTCAACGTTGTACATGAGGCCACCGCCGACATGCCACAGCCTTACACCGTTGTCGACACGCAAGCGCGGCGACGTCGTCGCTGTCATAATGTAGCGCGAGTCAGGGCTCCACTCGCACACGCTGGGGTTGCCGCTCTCGATGGTGCAAATCTTGCGGTAGTCCTTTGTCAGGTCGTACACGTCGATCTGGCCTGCCAGATTACCAAAACCAGCCACGAGGACAAAGCGTCCGTTCGGCGAGAAGGTGATGGTGTTGCGCGGACCAAGTGCAAATGTATGCTTCGCATCGGCGCGCTGGTTGAAAATGGTTGTCCGGGCAGGCATGAAGCCGTAGATCACACCAAACTCTTTCGAGTTGGGCGACCACGACACGTCGTGGATCGGGCCCTCCTTGTCCAGGGTGATACGGGCGTCAAATCCACCGCTGGCGCTCAGAAGGTACAGGGTCGTCTCGCCGTAGTAGCTCTTGTTGGACTTGTCGACATCGGTCTGGGCGAGCACGATCAGGCTCGAGCCCTGCGCGTTCCACTTAAGCTGCACCTTGTCGCCTTTGAAGAAAGTCTTCTGCGACACGGGAGCGGTGAATTGCGGTACGATGAAGACACGAACGGCAGCCGGTTGGCCCTGATGGGGCAAGAAGGATGAATGTCAGAAGCTAAGAAACTTTGATGTTGTGGCACGTGACAATAAGAAACGGGCAAAAACGTACCTTGCGCTCAGGGACAAACACAGCCACCGAGTTGGTCTTGCCAGGGGCCAAAGAGAATGCCGACACGCCCTCCACGCGCAGCTTGTCGTGGACATTGGCGAGGTCGTCACTCTTGTAGAAGTGGACCTCGTTGGTCACGAGACGGGCACAGAACTGCTCGTCGGCGGTGTACTGCAGGTTCCAGCCGGTCTGCGACTTCTGCACGAAGCAGCCCAGCGGCTGACGCTCGGTGCCAGCAGCTGCAGCCTCGTCTACAACACGCCAGATCTTCAGGTTCTTGGTGGCATCGCCGTTCTCGTCCTTGGCCGGACGCTCCCATGTGCTCAGATATGTGCCGAACGGGGAGAAGCTCAGTTCAAATACGTTGGCAACCTGAAGGGTAGCGACGACGTGGCCAACAGTAGCGTCGCACACAGCAACGGTCTCGCTCGAAGCCCAGGAAAAGTAGCGGCCGCAGGGCGAGTAGACACAGCACCGGAGGTTTCCCTCAGGCGGGGTGAATCCGGGGAGAGATTCGTAGACCGGATCGGCGTCAAAGACCCCGATGGCCTTCTGGGTGCGGTAGGCAAACTGCAACGGGCTAGCCATGACTAGTGAAAGCCACAGGAAGACCGGTCGGAGTGGGAGGCGGAGTGTAGTAGAGGAAGTAGTGTCGGGCAACGAGGCCGCGTGTTCGAAAAAGCTGTCCCGAAGGGGATGAGAATGAGGTTGGATAACGGTCGGATTGCAACGTGCTTCGGCGTCCTTTCGGGGCCGGGTGTCTGCTCCGTGGATACGTTAGCATGCATATATGAACAACAACTGCCAACAAAGCATGTGGGACGCGCAGCAGGGATGCTGATCGTGTGATAGCGGTAGCGACCGAGGAAAGCCACTAATGGCAGACGAAACAGCATCGAATGTTACCAACGCAATGGTATCTGCGAAGAACGCCCGTTTTTGAAATTTTTGATGAAAAGCGACTTCTCACACCGCCAGTGTACCTCGTCGCGGTCCCATCCTCCTTTTTACTGTTTGCATCAGAAACCTACCAAAATGTTGGGCACTTGCAGAATGTGTCGACAACGCGAAAGGCGACTGTCACCAGCAACGAGAAGCAGGCGGTTCAGAGACGACGTGAACAAAACGCCCCCAATGCTATGCAAGACAGTGCAAAGAGACCCACGACGTGTCGAAGCCCGAAATCCGAAAATGGAAACTCGAGCCAGGACAGCAAGGGAGGAGGCGGAGAAGGGAAGCGAGACAGCTAGAAAAGCAAGGGGAAAGAGGACGGACAAAAGAGAAGGAGAAGATTGCCGTGTGCACACCTAGGAGGCGGAGGGGGTTCTGATTGACAAGGCGGTGCTGCGCTGTTGACCTGTGCGGGTGGGCTGGAGAGGAAAGGTAGAAGAGAAGGGAGGATGCGACGAAAAGTGGATGATGATGTTTTTCCGCCTTTATTTTTTTGGTGCTTTTTTCACCTATTATTTTGGCCATGTCATTTTTTCCCCAATGCAGTTTTGTTCAGACCGCCACACGGGTGTTGATTGGACAATACGAGTCAATTTATGGGTCTATCTCCACTACAACCGGAGCACTCCAGAACACACAAATTTACGAAGCTTATGCGGTCTGTAGCGGCTGCTTTGGGCATTAACGATAGGTTTCCTTCAGCCAATCAGCACTGTCCAACTGAAGGTCGATGGATTAGGAAGGAGTTGGTATGAGCGGGTCCTTTGATTGGCCACATCGCTACTCTCGACGACTTTTAGGTGTAAGTGTATGGGCAAGAAGATATGCCACGGGCGAAATCGACATGCATGTTAAAACATAAACGGAGCTTGATATTTACAGGCCCGATACGTTTGCTGCTGCAGGTCACGGTTCGAAAACCACAGGAAGATCCCGAGAGTATCCTCTCAGTTGGAAAGCAACGTCCGGTAGATGTCATCTTCGTACATAACTTTCTTCAGAACTACAAATAGCCAATGATCTACAGAAATAAACATACATAGCTACTACGAATACATGTATCACCCAGAGTACTTATTAACGCGCTACACCTCGATATACACCACGCTTGTGTTGTCATGCCTAGCTCGTAATTTTAAATCATACCCCATCCAGTGGAAGTGTGTTTCATAAGCTCCTAGCCAGCGACAGTTTTCGTGTGCATCTTTATCCTCTCGGGATGGATCCGTGGTGAAGTGCGTAGCGCCGCAGACAGTACATTTCTTAAACTGGATTTGGGACCCTTTGACTGTGGTGGTGTTATATAAATTTGTTGGATTTAAGTTGCTGTTTTACCTACAGCATCACTTAAAGCTTTAAGGCTACGGCTGTACACATATAAAATTATCCTCATGTCGTCACAGCACGCAGTAGCGACGACACTTGCGGACGGTCTCGGTCGAGCAGTCCGCGAGAAAAGAACATGGAGATCGTCGGACAGCAAATACTACTTTGTTGACGGAAGGAGCTGAATTAAGAGAAAAGGAGAATAAAACAAAAATAAAGGAATAACCAGCCGCACAATAACAAATAGAGAGGCAAAACCTTGGTGCCGAAGCTGAAGCTGAAGCTAAAAAATCGATCTTTTTAAAAATCAGACAGAGACGCAAACACCGTCCAAGCACAAAAGCAAGCCAATACATTAAACCGTTACAAAAATCCCTCCATACACCCAAAATATCTTCCGATAAAATAAGAAACCAAGTCATAGAATGAAATAGTGAAATTACCTAATTCATTCATGTTTGACTTACTCTCTCCCTGCGAATTGAGATCCCAGTGTCATGGCAAAAAATTAGGTCAAGTCAAATCGGAGCAGAACAGAAAATGAAAGAAACCGACGCCCCAAATTTTGTTGCCGCACGACAAAAAAAATTTAAAAAAATAGACGAATTTGGGAGCGAACCGCTCAGAATGACAAACGAAGCTCAAAGGCAGTCCCGTTGCCTTGTCCGTCACCATCCACAGCCATCTCCCACTCCTTCTTCACAGGCTGTGCGTGAGCACCGTTGTCTTGTAAAGACGGCGCCGGGTACTCCGTCACGTCGAGGACCATATCCTGGCCCTCAGGCAACTCAGCCACCGCTTCATCATCCATTTCTACCTCCATGCCTTGAGGGAGGACCCGGACAGTGCGGGTGACCTTGGTAGGATCCAAGTTCCACTTGGCCGCAAGGCGCCCCACAAACTCTTGAAGCGTTCTCTTCGTCAGGTACAAGGCACGGTGGTACTCCTTGTTCTGGGTGCCGTCAATGGTGGCCTGGTTCTGGTTGATGCGACGAAGAACGTAGAAGCAGGCGACCGGTTTGGGCCGATCGCTGTGCACGGGCCGGTACGACGAGTCCACGTCCAAGGCCTCAATCCAACCACTCAGGTTTCCAGAGTCATCGGTCTTATTGACACGGGTCGGCTGGTTCGAGCTTTGGCGGGATGAAGAGCCCTGCGGATCAGCACCATCACCGTGGTAATCCGACCAGCCTCCATTTCCGTTCATGCCATTGCCACCGCCAAACGACACTTGTGAGTGCAGCGAAAGAGAGCTGGGTGACGGTGACACCATGGATGAGCCGGTGACAGAGCTGTGACCGCTCTGGTCACGCCATGCCATCAGATTGTCCCGAGACTCGACCTTAGCCAGGCCGCCGTTCTCGCCTGGGAGGGAGACGGGATGCAGATCAGGGTCATCCAGCTCATCACCGCGGAGGTAGAGTATGCTGACAGGCCGTGTGCTTGTGAACATGTCCTGCAGAGTCTGAAGCTTGCAGTGCAAGTCCTCTTCCACGGCCGGGCGCACACCGTTGGCTGCACCAGTCCGGTTAGGCGTGCCGCTGCTCGAGTTACCGCCGCTGCCATCTTCGGCACCGCTGGTATTGCCGTTTCCGTTGGAGCTAGTCGACGACATGGACCAGGTCCGCTTGTGCTTCGGGACCTTGCCGACACGCTGCAGGTCGGGTGCAGGTTTCGATGCCACAGCGGCACCGCCAGAGCGCTTTCGCTTACTGAAGTCCTTCATACCGCTCTCAGCCTGGGCAATCTGCTGCTTCAGCTTGTCGATGGTCTTTTTGACGTGGGCGACATCATTCGAGAGCTTCCGCTCAGCTCCGTGGTCGCGGAATAGCTTTACTTTACAAAAGCAGATCTCAGGTGTTGCCGACGACGAGTCCTTCGGGCTCACAGACTGCTGATTTTGATGAGGCGCTGGGTAGCGTGTCGTCTTCGTACAAAGGCGGACAGGAATGCCCTTAACACCCTTGGAATGGCTAAAGTCGGTTGACAGGAAGTTGAAGCGCACTGCAATGTTGCACTCCACTGCACCGTGGATACCAGGCGTCCAGATAACAGAGAAGCCGTCGAATGAAGCCGACTCCAGCTCCACGCGCGTACGCTTCTCGTCGCCCTCTGGAGGCTGACCCGCCTCGACATACTCGACGGCCTGCAGCTTGCCGCCGCGCTGGTGGGCTTCGTTGGTGCCACGGCCCTCCTTCCAGAGGCTCCAGCAGACGCCAGGTTTTTGGCGCTGTTGCTCATCCTCAAAGGAGATGCGAACATAAGTACGGAAGCGGGTGCCGGGGACGATGGGGAGCTCAGGTTCCGTGTCGATGATCGAAATCGAGTAAGCCTGGCCCTTGTTGAGATAACTGACCGGAATCTCATCGGCGTGCTTAATCATGGCAGTGGGCGCATTCAGGGTCGAGTGAAAACGGAACTTCTCGGCAGTCGGGGGTAGACTGGCAAGCATAGCCATGTTGGCGACAACGTTGGAGCTACCAAAAGCGTGCGGGTGGTGTCCAGGAGGGAATGCGACAAGTCCAGGGTGTGCTGCATAACCGGGCGCTACAGCAACGGCCACAGCGCCGGGGTGGGTAGTGTTCATCGCCGCAGTGTTAGGGTCGAGGCCAAGGCCCGTCGCGTCAGGGTAAACGAAAGAGGACGGCGCAAACGACGCTTGCTGTGGCGCCGGCTGTCCAAAGGGATGATAGGCGTGGAATGCCTGAGGATGTAGGCCATTGTGAAAGGCAGTCGCGCCAACGTCCATCATTGTCGTCGTGGTCGCACCAGGATGGAGAGCGCCGTCGGCCGTTGCCATAGAGAGAGGCGTGTTCAGGCCCATGTTCAAGCCCAAAGTCGGTGTGTGGAGATCGCCTGCTTGTGGGTGATAAAGCGTGCTATTACCACCTGGTGTTTGTGCGTAGTAACCAGGGTTGGTGTTAGAGAAGGTCGAGAAAGAGAAGGCTCCAGGGTCGAGGAGCGACGGAGTAAAGCGCCATGGCTCGTTGGTTGAGGCACGTGGTGTCGGGTCTTGGTCGGGGAACACGGCGTGGCTAATGCTTTGGGTTCTGAACCGATTGTCAGTCAGAAACGGCGCCTTGTAACAGACGCGGAGACGGGTCTTTGTCGACAGGCTTTACCTTTCTTGTGAGGTCACTGCTGATGGCAGGACGTTGTTATCTGCCGCAGCAGCAGTGGTTGTATTTGGCAACTGCGTATTGCCAGTTGTGGGAGACACAGCAACCTCGGGGAACTGCTGCCGGAAGTTGGCGAGCAAGTCGTCCCCGGGCTTCTGCGAGCTAGTGCTGTTGTCAAAGTCAGTACGAAACACGCGCAAGCACTCATGTGACGCAAACCCATATTGACTATCTTAGTCACATTGAACGAACCGTTGACGGAACATGATCGTAATCAAAGTCCTTAGACCTAGAGTTCGCCCTGCCAGCGAAGCAAGGCTTAGATATTTAGGTAGGACGTGAGGCGTGCGCTATGCGAAGCTGTTGAAAAAAACGCTGAGCTCCGTGAAGAGTCGGATATCGTCGAGGGCTAACGTTAAAGCGATGTGTCTATCCCAATAACTTGTTAATATGAGAACGAACGGTCGTGTTGGCGAGTGTGTATTGCGCGCGTGCTCTTCGCCCGCCTGTCTTTGTAGTGGTTCCAAGCGAGTGTATCGGCCAGTTGAATTGAAAACGAATGGGAAGGCAATGGTCAAATTTGAGCGAGAGGCAGACCTAGGCATTGGGGATGGTAAAGATATAGAAAAGAGAAGGGAGGGGAATGTCATCAATATGTATAGGAGAAATGGGAAAGGGAAAGGGAAAGGGAATGACGGAATTGTGGAAGAAGAAAACTGGAGAATGTAGGAGGAGGGACGAGGTATTATTACGGAGTACGGAAAAGTAGCCGCAAGATATTCTCCACACTGCTAATGATAGAGAGGCATCGCACAGTGGGTCTCCAGGAGACATGTGCAATGAGAAGCAGAATGGAACAGCGAAGAAGAAAAAACAAATATGGCGGGGACGGCAAAACAGATCCAATAATTAAAATGGAATATATTAGGGTGTGAGCAGAGAAAAAGCGAGAAGTAGTGAGAAGGGGAAGATGCTAGACACAAGGACAAGCCGATTTGAGAGAAGTGTGAAGACTTTGTAGATGACACGAACTGGGATCCAAGCGCAGTGGGCTCCAAGGGAAGAGCAGAAACAGGGCCAGCATTTTGAGTACATACAGGTTAAAGGTTGGGTGGTTGGCCGTCGCGAGCAAGACGATCGGGTATATGTTGTTGAGATTCGGCGCGGTGTACTTGAGGAGAGGGTGAGAGAGGTGCGCCAGGCTCGCATACAAGAACCGAAATGGAGAGAATGAAGAAGATCAGAAAGGGGCAGAAACACAGTTGGAGTAAGGGAGAATGAGAAAGTGCGAATCTGAAAATGATAAGAGGAAAGAGCAAACGAGGAAATGATATCAGGAAAAGAATGTGCTGTGGGAAGGCACGTCTCGAAACTTCTGCCGTTGTTCCTTATTTTGCCAGACGGTTGGTTCTTTCACCAAAAATGCTCCAAATTCATCTTCATCTTGGGATTTGCTGTGCATCTCAGAACTGCGCTCGTTACTATTTATTTCGAATCTCCTTTCCTTTCTCTTATTCCCCAATCTAAAACATAAGAGGAGAATAGGGAACGGGCGGTCGAAAAATTATGACGACGGACCGGGAGAGAGGGGGAGAGACAAAAAAAAGAGAAGAAAAAAATAGTGGACCACTGGGGGCGTGAGTGTAACAATGGCGACCGCTGTGCCACTAGGTAGGCCATGGTGGGTATGCATGTGTTGTTGGGGGAATGGCGTTCCGGGGCTCGACGGGGGTACCCACAGCACTGCACACTAAAAAGAGTCCTAGCGCAATGAAGGGATTGTTTGGGCTGAGCAGAGCCGCTGTGTGGTTCGCTGGCGGCAGAAAGGAAAAGGGAGGTGCTGTCGTTATGTCGTCATTGTCCTTTTCGCCATGAGGCTGTTTGTAACCGGTAGGCGCGACCGAGTTTTCTATTCCTCAAGTGTCTGCCCGACGGATCGCTGGCAGTTGACATCTGTCACGGAAGGCGCAACCGGTTGTTGATGCTAATTTAGGCTTCATCCGGTTCTCTCCTGTCCCGTCCGCCGACATAGTCGGCGTGCATCGTCTCTGTTTATGTTCAGATAACACGAGAAACTGCGTCGCAAGAGCTGCGTTTACATTAGCAAAGCATATGTGACATGCAGCTCGGCGCGAATAGACCTCTGTCAAACGCACAGGGTCTTGTTGCCACCCACAACTGATTCTACGTTGATCTGTACTTCTTTTAGCGTAGTGTCAAGGAAAGCGTCATCAAAGTAGCTAACCCCACCGGCTATTGTGCATGTAGATCTACATGTAAGGTTCACTAAAGAGAACGTATAAGCGTGTACATAGTACCTTTTCTGTCCCCTCAACGTAGAATCCGACAAGTCACTTTGTGTGCAGAAGAGCGCCCCGACAGAATCGATACGCACTACACAAAAAAGGTAGACGATCGTTAAAGGAGGGACCCTTGATTTGTAGTACATACACCAGGACGATATGCCAAGACTTTCTGACGTATTTCCCAATCGTCGTCTGTGGGGGGTGAGGTGAAAGTCCGCGATATGTTGTAGCCATAGTGCGCCGTATGCCTTGTCAAGCGAATAGCAATATCCAAACTAAAGGGCAACAATCAACGGAAAGGTAGAGAGTGGTAAAAAAAAGGGCTCATTTTGGAGGCCGTGGCATGTCAAAGGTGTTTCGGTGCTGGAAAGGTAATTGGTGAGAGGCAGGCGACGAAACAATAGCCTGGGGAAGGGTGACTGGAGCCAAGCATGTAAAAAGTACTGTGGCAATAAACGAAGGTCGAGATGCCCCGCCAGCCAGATGCCAATCCCTCATGCCCTATCGCGCGCACTAGGCTGTTTATGTGTTCACTCTGATGCACGTCGTTCGACTTTCTGGTATGCAGACTGAGAGAGAGTGATGGTGATAGGCATGGGAGACAAAGACCCTAACAACGTAAGTGATTGTCGGGACAGAAACATCCCGCCGTAATCCCTGTGGGTAGCGACGGTAGGCAAAGCAAAGCATACAGGGATCTGGCATTGTGGTGTCGGGAGGCCGCCAGTTGTCTTTTTCTACTTATAGAGATTACTTTTCAGCGAGCTCAGTTATGCATTTAACGAGTGTTTGTGACCTCGATTGGTATTTAAGGTGGCAGCAGTTCATCGCTTGCCTCTCGTTTGCCAATCAGAGTTAAGTAAAAAAAAAAAGGGTTCTCTTGGACCGCGGCGTGTCATACTCTGCCATACGATGTATATATAGTAAAGGGCAAATGTAAAGGAAACCAAAGGAGGCCGTATATCGCATCCCTCCACAACCAAACAGGCCCAGGGAGCCTGGTAATATATTACGATGAGCGAACGACGTACCAGATTCGAAAATAGAGCCCCTGACATAAGGTACAAGAGTATATGTGGTAGTACAAGATCTAGCGAGAAGGTTTTACTGTTTAGGAGGTACCTCGATGCTCCCTCGTCTTCGTTCTTTACTTTTCACAGCGACGCGACCAGGACCGTATTAGGGCCGCCTTCAGGTACAAAACCGGCGACGGACTTAGCCACACCACAAACCCCTTAAATTCTAAATGGCACTGGTTTGGTTTTCCGGGGTAGCTTGTTGGTTACCTTTGTTTTAAACCTCAAAAAAGCTCTCTTGGCGACACTTAGTTAGTACAGACAACGAGTCCCATCTGGCTCTTCGTATGAGGATTTAAGGGCCAAACAACAGGAACTTTCCAATACTACACTAAACAGCGTATTTAAAAGGGCGGTTGGATCTTGGATCAAATAGGTTCTACTACCGGATTCGGTATAAAGTGCCAGCCGGCCACATTCTAGTGTAAACAAAATGACAACTTATTAGACATTATCTAAGAATGACGGAATGTTAACACGGAGCCCCTTGATGCTATCGGGTCGGAAGATGACGATTAGGCTCGACCATATGAGCGATATCCAATTGTGTGGGCACAAACGTCTATCGTTCTAGTTGCTTCGGTTAGGCCATCTTGTGCCTGTATTTCGGCATTCGTAAACAGTGTTGCTTTTGCTCGCAAGGGCATTGGATGTGCTGTATGTGTCCAGATAGACAAAGTGGCGCCGAGAATGGTAGACAGTATCTGATGCACGCTATCCAGAAACCACACCACTGTCCATAACGTATTGTCCCATTCTTCGTACGTCCGCAACATTGTCGGCCGGGTGCTAAGAAAGTGGAGGCTGGCTTATTGTCGAAAAGGGCAAAGGATGCGACTCTGTCTTTTTTCGACTTTCTATTTTGCCCTTTTCTTTCTTTTTGTTTCTCTGTCTTTTACCTTGCTCCACAATGTTTGTGGGGCAGAAGAAAAAGATAGCTTTTTGAACGCGTACTTTTCTGCATGACGTCACTGCATTATCTGGCGCCCCGCTTTTGACAGGGGTGCTGCAGATGACAGGAGACGAAGGGGAATAGAATGAAGGAAGAAACACAGAGCGGCGCCAGAGCGGCGCTAGTAAAATTGAGAAGGCGCACCGGGTGGGTGGCGACTTAGTAGGGAAAAATAATTAGTGAATACTCGACCTCTCACACACCTCGAATCAATGGGACAGTGGACAGGTACCAAAAAGGCACCAAATGACGCCTGTTAAATGGCACCTCCGACCTATTCTTAGGCTACGGAAAGCCTTAGTACCGAGACGACCACTGGAGGTAGGAAGGGAAAGATAGGAAAGAAAGATCATGCCAACAAAAGAGACAAA